TTCACCAACACTGCTGAGGGTCCAAGCTGCCAACAGCAGAAACTAACATACTGCTTCTGATACGGCACCACACCTGAAGGGACCAGGCAGCCGTTTATCCATTGGAATTGAATCCACTGGACGTCTTTCAACATAGAAGGGGGCAGTGATTTGTCTGCACCAGATGGGTTTTTTCTTTCTCACCTCAAGCTGCTAACACTGTCATTCATTGACTTACTAAGCAACTTGCTCATTGTCACAGTTTCCACACAACATTGCTTCTGCTAAGGAACTCACATTACAAGGGAAATGAGGCAATTGACTGACACTCATAAGATTTACAGGTCCTAATGTGAGCGTTGGCCTTACAAAAAGTGGAATGGCTCACATTGAAGGCTCAGGTGCTGTACCGGTGGGAAGACAGTAGTTGGTGAGTTTGGGGCACTTTTCTAGAGGATACATAGCATATGTTCTCAAACAGCTCCAAATGTATGGTTTCTCCCATAGGCAGCGACCATGGGTCTGGGAATTAAGAAGTGAAAATGAGTGACACTTCTCACCAATTCACCCAGGAAGCTACTCACAAGAATTTTGCTTCCCAATTTTTGGTTTTGCTAGTTGAGATGTCTTAGTGTCCAGGGAGAACTACTACTCTGTGTGGGGACATATCAAGGATTTCATGGAATGGGAAGTTCTTCATCTGCTCACTCCACCCTTTTACCTCTTTGTTCTTAGAACTTTCCACCTTAATTCCTCTATTCCAGCCATGCTGGCTTCCTTTTTTTTTTAAATCACCCATGCCAAACACACCCTGACTGGAGCCTTTGCACTGACTGGACCCTCTTCCTGAAATGCTGTACGTCCAAATACCTGCAGAGCTCATTAATGCCTTTGCTTCCTTGAAGTCTTTTCTCGAATGTCTCCTCTATAAAGAGGCTCGCACTGAGCACTGTGTTCAAAATCAAAACCTGCCTTTGCCTTCCCGGTGCTCCCGACCCCCCTTTTCTTGTTTGTAGCATCTATAACTTTATAAATACCTGGGTGATATATGAATTATTATGTTTATTTATCATCGTCTCCCCATGAAGGCTGGGATCTTTGTCTCTTTTTTCACTGTTGTTGCCAAGCACTAAGAACAATGCCTGATGAGTAGCCGGCCCTCAGTAAATATTTGTTGAGTGACTGAATGAATACTTGAGCTTGATCCTTGAATTCTTGCTAGTTCTAAGGATTCTGAGTTTATTCTGAAAAACCTTCTCTGAAAATTCAATTTTAGGTAAGTGGGCCCTAAGATCTGGATTAATTCTATCAGCATCTTGGTCTTGAAAGAATTTCTATTCCTGGTGAGGTCAGAGGATCTCAAAGCTGTAAAGGGCTTAAAGGTCTACGCAGGGAACCCACATTTCCTTTCTTAGCGCTTAAAGGTTTAATGAGGATCTTACCAGTTTTCTGTTGTTTGGAGATTTCTGATTAGGAAGTTTATGCTTCTGAAGTTTACTGAACCGGCTTGAGCATAACTCCATTATGTGTATGAAACTGTACTTTCTGTGAAGCTTCCTGGCAGCCGTCATTAGAATGCTCTCTCCATAGACCCAAATTAAGTTTCAGGCCCCTGATACCACAGGCTTTTGGCTTAGAAATGTAAATCAACCAGGAGATTGTCATTAGAGCTGATGAGAGTGTGATACTTGTGAAGCAAAAGAAGACACATAAAATTTGTAAAATTATTTCTTTAACCAAAAAATATAACAGTTAGTAATTCCTCTTCTTCTCCTCCAGAAGACAGAAAAGTAATTAAAGTGTCAAGGGAGTCATACTAAGTTTCAAATTTCTGATAGTTTCCTGGTGTAATGTTGTGATGTCCTGAGAACATAGCTAATAAGTAGCAGCCTGGTACCACACCGAGGGTTGTACTCTTCTTGAGTTCTGTGTGTCTACAGGCCTAACTCATCCTGCATTTGCTCAAGCATTCAATGTTTATGGGAATGCCTACTCTGTACCAGGATTTTATGGCAATGCTTAAAGGGACTTAAAGCCAGTTTTCTTTTACTATGATAAATATTTTACCTGAAGGATGACAGATTATAAAATGTTCATTTTAACTCCATAAAACTGATGGAGTGATGTAAGTGCCTCATTCCCTCCATCCCCCCAGATAGTATCTGTCTGTCTGTCTCTCTCTCTCGAAGAAATGCTCATGGAAGGGAAAATGAAAACAGTAGTTTCTAGTATGTGAGTTCCAGGCACCACATTAGGTGCGTCAAATTGTTGTCTAATTTGTCCTCATGACAACTTTGAGTGAGGGCTCTTATCCCCATTTTAAAGATAAGAAAATAGAGACTCAGGTTAAATAAATGATCCAGGGTCACCCAGGTCATAAAGAGGGGTGTGGGTTAGAAACAGGGCTGTGCTTCCTTTACCTGATGCAGTCTCTGTTGTGTCCCCTTACCACAGAAGAGAGTGAAGGTAGTTTAGTTTCCAGTCATAAGATGATTACTTTTATATATTTTTTCGTTAAGTCTATACACAAAGGTATGTAGATTATTGCCTGTATTCATTTAGACCTGGCATATTTGACTAAGACTCATTGAGCTAATCTAGTTAAATAGATTTGACCACAGGAATTCAATTTAAAAATTTTACTTGAATGCTGTTTTTCCAGAGATATTTAATTGTAACATTTAAGGAAAGAAATATGAACTATTGTTTTAAATAACTGAATTTTTTTAGCTTTCAAATCTCAGATCCAAAACAGCAACATTGCAATAAATTCTTTGGCGAGAATAAGACAAATATTGTTAATTTGTGAAAGGAGTTTTTCACATTTATTAGCAACCATTCAGCTTTTTGTTTTCAGCAAAGAAAGGCATACATTTCCAGAAGGTGGCACTCTAAGAACACCATTTGGTTTTTGGATTTAGGAGTACATGAGTTCTACTCTATCCTTTATTGAATGAATTACACATTTAAATTATGACCTGAGTCTCTGTCATGCTTTTTTGTGTGTGCATTTTAAAAAATATTTATTTAAAACATAAAAATGTTAGGAAATATAATAAAATCCCTTTTAAAAATTGTGTTCCTTTAAAGATAAATTAATCTAATCATATGTTACATATTTCATATGAACCTTATTTTATTAAGAAAACAAGTATTAATGATAATTATTTTGTTCTTTGAGTAAATTGCTGTGTTTCCAAGTTATGTTGTTATAATTCAAAACAAAGCAGAAAACTGTATCTATCAATCATTTTCAGCCGCATTCTAAGTATATTTAACAAAAACATATTTTAGAGACTCCTGCAATAGAAGTAAAATTTCTATATGAAACAATTTACAGCTGACATTTTTGGTTGATCTCTCAGTCATGGCTGAATACCAAAAATAAGTTTAGTTAGTTAATCTTGAAATTCATGTTTAATGTTGAACAATGTTCTCTTGATTTAATTTCATATAAATTTTCTAAAATTCCCTATCACTTATTTAATAAATGTGCTGGTGTGTTCTCATGACGTTTAGTATTTGGTCTGGTGATCAAAATCTCTAATGTGTTTTAGCACCTCTTTCTTTTTTAATTTTATTTATTTCTTTTTGTCCCCCAAAGCCCAAGTAGATAGTTATACGTCATAGTTGCTGTATGTGGGACACGGCCTCAGCATGGCGGGAGAAGTGGTGCGTTGGTGCGCGCCCGGGATCCGAACCTGGGCCACCAGCAGCGGAGCGCACGCACTTAACCGCTAAGCCACGGGGCCGGCCCTAGCACCTCTTTGTAACACCTGTAAGCTTATTTAGTAAAGAACTTTTCTTATTTTGTCATTGGTGTCAGTGGTGAACGCTGAGTCTGGAATTATGAGACCAGGACTAGACCCAGATGACATCAATCATGTGTTAAGGAAAAAAAAAAAGTAAAAAGAATTTTATTTCAACTATATTTAGATTGTATTTTAACATGTATTTCTCAAGATTTTCATAAACCCAGTGATTACTTGTATGGATATTTTCAGAAATCAATAAACTATTTACTTTTTAAAAATATCAGTTCTTAAGATCAGCTTTTGGTTATAATTCTTATTTTGAATCCCACAGCACAAAAAAAAGCTCTTTTTTAAATACTTGATTATATTTGAATCACTTTAAAGCAAACGACTCACAGTGGTGCTTTCATGTGATAGAATGTTCAGAAATCTGTGCCTTCAAGGTAGAACAGCCTTAGTCTCTAGAGAGTTCAGGAAGAACACACCTTGAACCTAAGTCCTTCAGCAAGCAGAGTGCTATAATGGAGTTTCAAAGGGGGTTCTCTGCAGCGTGCGATCTCTATTGAAAACTCCTTCCTCACCACCCTGAACTCTTACTTTTTTATCTACAGTTATAAAACAGGGATCGTGTTATTTTATTATTGTTGATGACAATAATAATAAAATAATAGTTATAATGATGGCTTATCTTTTTAGAGTACTTTTCCTCAAAGAATAAAAGACAAACGTATCTCATACTATTTTGTTTCCCCCTGTCCTTCTTGCGAGTTCAAACAGTGTCCTCTCTCTCTCTCTCTCATTTTCTGTCTCTGATGTGACTTTTACATAATTAAAGAGGCTGGTTTGGGGCGGCCCCATGGCTTAGCGGTTAAGTGCGCGTGCTCTGCTACTGGTGGCCCAGGTTCGGATCCCGGGTTTGCACTGACGCACCACTTGTCCGGCCACGCTGAGGCCACATCCCACGTACAGCAACTAGAAGGATGTGCAACTATGACATACAACTATCTACTGGGGCTTTGGGGAGAAAAAGGAGGAGGATTGGCAATAGATGTTAGCTCAGGGCTGATTTTCCTCACAAAAATTAAAAAAAAAAAAAAAAGAGGCTGGTTAGACCTAGAATATGCAAAACTACTTTTTAAAAGTAAACATTCACTTTAAATTTTGTATAACCTTTGTTTGATTAAAAACATGCAATCTCAAATATAATATGAATATAAAGTTAGTATCTAATATTTTTGAGTTGAGTGTTTTCTCTTTTATTTTTAGGATAAACATGTTCTGACAGTTGTAACTATTGAGAAAATGCTGGAAAGGCTGAAAAAGTCTAATGAACTTTTGGAACTCATTCTTAAAGGACTTAATGAATATTTGGAAAAGAAACGTCTCTTCTTCCCCAGATTTTTTTTCTTGTCTAATGATGAACTTCTTGAGATACTGTCTGAGACTAAAGATCCCACTAGGTAAGGAACTTACATATATTACATGTGGCTAAAGTTATCTGCTTAAATTTAATGTTTAGAATAAGGCAGAACATAAATAAATACATATAATTATGTTTATGTAATAACTTTTTCAAAACTGTTCTCAATATTATCAGTAATCAACTTGAAATAATTATTAAAAACATAAGTAATATCATTGAATGACATTTTTCCAAATTTGGTGGATCTTGGAGTGGATTTCTTATTTTAGCACATATTCTCTTAAGATTTTTCAGAACACCTCCTTCTTCTAATTACATTCAGAATAAAAATCAGTACCCTCGGTGGCTTGCAATGACCCGCACGGGTGGTCTCCCATTCTCCTCTCTGTTCATCTCCCACTGGTTTCCTTCTTGCTCACTCTGCTACAGTCCTTGCAAGTCCCCCATAAAGGGCAGCCTCGTGCCTCAGCGTACTGTTCTCTGTGCCTAGGATGCTCCTCACCCAGATATCCATAAGACTTCACTCACCTCCTGTAGGTCTTTGTGGAAACCTGCTCAACCATCTGCCAGTCAGGAGGCCTTCCTTGACCACTTTATTTAAAATGGCAGCCACTTCCAGCACTCCCTTGCCACCTTTCCTGGATTGTCTTCTCTACCTTATTCCCCTTCGGTATACTTTTTATCGTCTGGCTTACTCTATAATGTGCTTATTTGTTCACTGTTTGATTTCCTCTAGCAGAATATAAGCTCCATGATTAAGTGCTCAATTAATCCATGATCTCTCCAAGCAGAGATTTTTGACTGTTTCTTTCCCCCAATGCTGATTCCTCATTCCTTAGAAGAGTGTCTGGTATATAGCAGACAGTGAATAGATATTTGTTAAACAAATTTAATTTTGTGTTTTATGCCTTCAAAATAGGAGACAAATAATCCAGACAAAAATATAAATTTAGGCTCAGATTTCCATTTGAGTTTTTATACTCTGCTTCTGTTTTGCACCTTTGAATGATGAATTCAATTGGTTATTGGTGATGTGCCCAAAGTGAGGGGTTTAGTCAGTTCCATCTGTATTACAACAAATAGACTGAAGTTGAGTACCTTCAAAGCAGTTGACTTAGTAAACTGTAAAGTACTGAATGCACTGAACTCAGCTCATAATTTGCAAGCTGTCTCTGAAGGTCCCAGTTGAAATGGCTCCTTTTGTGCATTTGAAGATTCTTCAGGTTAGTGTATTACCTGTTAGTCAAGATTGGTTTGCTCCTTATGTTACTTTTAACATCTTTCAGTTGAGTGTGCTGGAAACAAAGCCTCGTGGACGTCTCCTCTGTAGCTCTTATTATAATTGTAATTTCACACATTTTTTGTGATTTTCAATTAATGATGACCTCCCACTGGACTGTGTAATCCATGCATTCAGGGAGTGTGTCTTTTTTTTTTTTTTTTCCCTCAGCATTTCATCTCCAGCAACATCTAGCAGGGGCCTAACACATCATGCACATTTATGAATTTTGAATGAAGATTGGTGCACAAAGAATACTGATACTTAAGGAATTGCTTTCATTTGGTTAATTCTCTTACACGTTTTTTTTCCTGACAGGGTGCAACCTCACTTGAAGAAATGTTTTGAAGGAATTGCAAAAGTAGAATTTACAGAAACTTTAGACATTACTCACATGAAGAGTAGTGAAGGCGAGGTTGTGGAACTCGTGGAGACCATTTCAACAGCCAAAGCCAGAGGTCAAGTGGAGAAGTGGTTGGTTGAGTTAGAGAGAATTATGATTAAGTCCATCCACAAGGTAGCCAGCTATATTTATTATTATTTCTAGTGAAGATGATAGAATATTAATGTATCGTTGATAAATGCACTGTTATTTAGACAGAAATTGAGTCATGAGTTACCAACTTGATTGTAATAGCTTGAAGGCAAAGATATGGTCTATGGTATTAATTTTGTGGTGACTCACTTGAAAAGGGGGACAAAATACCATCCATATTACAGAAAACTTGAGCTTTAGTCACGAGTCTGTCTCATTTCTTGCAGCCGCATGCCAGTGCTTTCATCATTAATTAAACACACTTTGGTCTACACAGTTTGTCTTTAGTCTTGCCTTGGAAGCACCACTCTTCAGTTTCACATCAATCTCCTTGACGTGTATGTTTCTATGGTGAATCCTTTTGTTCTGTGTATATATAAAATATGTACCAAAATGTTAGAAAATCAGAAGTACTTCCTACAATTAATGGTAACCTCACATTTTCCACATCTGATAAAACATATTATCAACTCAATCACTTGTAATTATTTTTGTTAGTAGAAAACTTCAAGTCATGGCAACAGATAGAGATTAATTGAGCACTTAAATTCATTTTTTACTATAAGGTGGACTTAGCATTCAAGTTCCTCATCAAGAATAAAAATCGTAATTGAGCAGGGGAGCATGAGGGCAAGAATAAGAAGGAAAGATGGTATCAGGTCCTAATCAATAAGAGTTTTCATTACTTTTTCAGATCTCTCATACATGATTGACAAAATTCATTGAAATCTAGGTGTTTAATATACATAATGTGTCTTAATCCTTCTTTTTCTTAAATATAGTTTTAATATCTGCCTGCTTAATATTTTTCCAATAGATGGAAAATCTTTTGGATAGTTTCCCATTTCTTATCATAGATTAAATTATAATAAATATCCTTATGCATATAGCTAGTTTCTTTGATTGAATTATTTATTTTCTTATGATTACTTCTTATATGTAGGACCACTGGGCTAAAGAGGATAAGCTTTCATAGGCCTTGATAAGTATTGACAAAGAGCATCCCCATTTATGCAGCTGTTAACAATACAGATGAATTCTGCTTTGACCACTACTTAGCAGCATTGAATTGGGTGACGTGGTTTGTTTATTGATGTATACAGTGGTAATTCATTATTTTACACGTATATGATACTATTTCAACTATTCTTTTAATTTTGTCAAAGTGCTTAGAGAAAATATTTTGGTTGCCATTTCAGAGCATTAAGATGGGGCGGCAAGAAATTGTGTAGGAAATATTGTCCCCAAATGTTCATGTGTAAATTTGTGTTAGTGAAATATGCAAGAAAATGCATGTAAAATATTACAAATAGGAGATATATCTGTTACTTACTCTGTTGTGCTATATGTATTTGCATGCCTGAAAGGCTACTGCATGCCTAAATTAAGTGAATTTTGTGTCAATATTGCAAATAATAAAAAAAATCGTGTTCTTGGCACATTTGCCAATGTAGCTTGCTACCCCCAAATATAGTTATTATATATACTATATATAGTATATACATAGTATATAAATATAGTATATATATACACATACACACACATATATACACATACACATGGACATATATACATATGGCATACATAGATATAATATGTTTTACATACAATATTGTAGAACTTTACGTAATGATATTTCTCCTCATCTAGCTATATAGAAATCTGTGATTTAGATTTTAATGTCTTTCTCTTGTTCTCTCCACAGTGTTCTTCTAGAACATGTATTTATTCCATCCTTGACATTTCTCCACTGTACCTTCTATTCTTTTCTGTTTCTCCCATCTCTCAGTTGCTCATTTTCACCTGCCCTTTCTTGTGGCTTCTTCTGGCCTTTTAAATCTTCTTTATTATCAATAGCCAACACTGCCCTTCATCTCTTTTCAGCTCTATAAATATCCTAGCTAGACTAGAAATTCAGAAAGGTTCACCCATCCTTACATATTTCTCAGAAAAATCTAATTTTGATAATCTTTTCTGAAATTCAGATATTAAAGTGGGTATCACCTCACAGATGATGTTATTATTTTTGGTTGATACATATAATAGATTAGAATGTTTCCCACTGATGGCTGATAGAGAAAGTGGGTATATCAATCCACTGAAAACATATAGCAAAGTACATGAATTAGACTTTCTGACTTACAGCTCTCAACTCTCTGTGAATGAATTATACATCCATCCCTGTCATCACTGCCTTGGGCATCAAACTATAGGATGAGAGGCAGTGAGGTCTGGAAACACAGGGGGAGCTTCAGAGGAATTGCCTGAGTGTGCATGTACACGTACAGATGGCTAAGTGGAGATCTGATTAGCTTCAGAGAAAATTATTATCTATGAATTCTATGCATCCCATTTTAGAATTATTTGAATTTACGTTTTGCAATAAAATTGCTTGTGCTTGTTCAATCCAAATGTATCTAGGATGTCTTTGGCTACAGTTGGTCAAATAAATATTTGATATAATGTGGTTCACACAAATTGGTTGTGTATCAGCAAAATAAAATGCTATGTAATATATTTGTTTTACTTACAGGTATATGAATAAACTTGAATTTAAATAGTCTAATCACTTGCTTTGAATCTCCATAATTGGCTAAGATGTTGTAAAAGGTTGAGCATTATGAGTTCATCTATTTAGGAGTTTAGCTCTTCATCGTACAGCTCATTCAAGTAAAGTGTGAAACTGTTCATCTGTAGCATTTTCCTTTTCAATCAGGTAATTGGAATTGCAATTTTTGCCTATACACAATATGAACGAATTGACTGGGTAAAGGATTGGCCTGGACAGACAGTTCTCTGTGTATCTCAAACCTTTTGGACAACAGAAGTACAAACAGCTATTTCAAAGGGGCAAGAGGTAAGCTTTTATTACCCCCATGTTTTCCAGCATTTTTTCAATAGTTATTATTGCCAGAATACACTTATTCTAAAAAATAAAACAAAGACAATCCACTCAAAAAGTCAGGAGTACTTGAGCCTCAATCTTGTTATTATATACATTTTTGTGCTTTTAAAAACAGAATGATAATAGGACTGAGAAAATTCCTAAACTCAGGAAGATTAGGAGGAAAGAATATAATATAATTCTCTTTTATGCCTTGAGTAAAACTACCCTATGAAGGCCAGGTATCAGTTGACTTATTTTGACTATTTTTATTTTTAGTGTAGTGATTTTGAATAAATAGTTGTTAACATTTTGAAGATACTTAAGTTTAAATATTCTAATATATTAGATATATGAATTTAATAATATTATTAATTGGATTGCCATTATTAATTAAAAACAGAAAGTACATTCAATGCAACATTCCTATCCTTGAGATAGGATTTCAAGCAGGTCAACTTTCACTTGACCAAGGAACCAATTGGAATCTAGCAATTGTAGATCTTTTGTTTAAAGCCATGAGTTTTAAATATATTTTTGACATGGAATTCAATATTATCGTCTTTAACTCTAAGGTATTGTTGAACAGTGGTGAGTGTTGGGGTTTGAGAGAGACTCGTATGCTCTGTAAGCAGGCAGATCCCAAAGAGGAAGGAGCTGAGTGACACATGCTTAGTTTACTGCAGCTTACCAGCAGGTCACTGCTTACTCCTCTATGGGAAGGGATAAGGGCATAGGGCAGGAAGTCGAGGATTTTCAGGAAAGAGTCTTTCTTCATGGACACCAGAGCACTGGGGAATGAGGGTTTCCCTAACAGCCGTAAGCCCTTGGAGTTACTTCTGGGCTCTTGGCTGTCTGGACCCATGTGCAGTTTTCTTTTTTCCTCAGTGGGTCCAGAGAATTCATCTTGTCATTTCATTTTTAAGCTACCACTCACCAACCTCCCCACACAGAGGGATTCCTCCATTGCCAGTGTGGGCTACTGGGGGACATGTAGCCTCCTGAATCTCCCTTCTTGCCTGCTGGCCCCCCAAACCACCATACCAACTTTATCACTCACCAATGTGAGGAAATAGTCTGGAGGGAACAAAGAAGCAAATGTGAGCAAATCAGACAAATTTGTAGATATCTTCCCAATTTCTTCAGTTTAAATGTGGTGTTTATCAAACCTCTACCTTTCTGTCAAAACCACATTTTTCTCTGGTCCTACTCCAAGCAGGCTGGGAAAGGCGGGAGTTGAGGTAGATCATCAAAGTGTAAATTACAGTCCTTTCATGCTTCCACTTATCTCTCAAGCATAATTTGAATCTCAAGGGACATACAATTTAGGTCACTCCCATTTCAATGTATCCTCTGCTCAAAACTATCTGCCTATAGTTCTTGCCATATTGCATACAGATACAAATAGTTTTTTTGGTTTACAACAGTATCCACTGACACTGAGATGGAGTTATTTATTTACTATTCCTTTATTAGTCTATTCAATTTCTTTTCAAATCACGTAATATGGTGCAGGTATAGAGGCATTCATAGAGAAAGCCAAAATGGGAATCCATCCTATAATAGCAACATGTTATACTGTCACACTCCCAGAGGAGCTGTTCATCTCAGGATCTGTGTTTCCATTGATTTATTCAGTGAATGTTGATTGTGGAACTACACCATATGAAGCATTACAGGGGCTAAAAAATGAATGAAAGAATCACCGCTGTCACAGAGCTTGGAATATTGCAAATATTGATGTGATTTTGAGTCAGTATATCATTGTATATATGTGGAAGGATCTAAGTATGATAAAAATATTTGATTACAGATAAGGTTTATTTTGGCTGAATATAATAGTTGTTACCTTCAGATTCATTAGCTCACTGTACAGAATGGTTTACAAGGAATAAAACGTAACAAAAAAAACTATTAATATCATGATTTTTTTCAGCCTAGCTAATCTGAATTCTCATTATTTGTATAATATAGTTCCTAAAGAACTCAGTTTATCACAAGTTTGAAGCTAAATTTTAGTTCCAAATCTGTTTTTCTAGTATAGGAAAATACATCCTGCTAGTGTAAATAGTAAGAAATTCTAATGGACATATAATTTATACTGTCAGGTCCAAACATTAAATTTTTACTTTATATCTTGTTTTGACCTACAGAATGTGAGAACTGGTAAGACTCTCAGAGATCTTGACTTTTACTGAAGAGGAAACTAAGATGCACCAACTGGCGTAGCTTGTGTTCCTAGAATCAAAACTGTTTTTACCGATTTATATATTCAATATACTTAAATTCACTAATTGGCTCCAAGAATTTAAACACCATAATAACCGTAAGGTTATTTAAACATGAGTGGGACAGAAGTTTATTTTTCACTACTTAAGAAGCAAATTAATGGTAATTAATCATGTAAATAATATAAAGGAAATAGTGTTCAAGCACCAAACCTTTGGAAAAAATGACTTCCTTAAAAATAAAATTAAAAAAAAGCTAAAATATTTTAAGGAATAAGAAAAGTGTCCCTTAGAGAAACAATTCTCAATCCTCAACTCTATCCTTTAAACTTTTTCTCATTCTTGGTCCTCACTTTTAGTTTCATTGCTGTCCTTACCTGGCCCTAAAGGAGTAAAATAAACCCATTGGTGCACAATGTTTATTAAATATTATCAGAGTGAAGAAGGCGACCACATCAGCCTGCTGGAGCATATTGACACTTCCCTTAAGCACAGCAGTTTTCATTGATTCTAATTTGATTTTCATAAACCTTGTTCTCTTTTTTACCTTACTAATTAGATTTACCCACCAGAAAAGAAATCCTGAAGCAAGCCTGGTCCTTAGAACTGGCATTAGCTCACCATCAACTAAAATGTTAGATGTTTTGTTTATTAGAATCATTACATTTCAAGTGACACAGATCCTACTCAGAAAGCTTACACAAGAGCACTAGAAGGACTCTTGGGATCCAAGGAGGAGAGTCAGAATCAGGCTCTTAGGGCTTCCTCGCTGCTGCAGTTTCTCTTTCATTGTCTGTCTTTCATCTCTACTGGTCTCTGGCAGGCTTTATTCTGCAGTGGGGATGGAGGCTTGCAGTAGTTCAGATTGGCATACTCAGAGGCTCTACCAAGCCTAGTGAAAGGCACTTTTTTCTCTATCTGTATAGCAGTCCCTGGGAAGAACTATGATTGGCTCTGGTTGGGTCACACATCCCCTCCTTCATGTTGCCATGGAGATGGGGCAATATGATTGACAGCTCACCAGAACCACAGAGCTTAGAGGAGTAGAAATAGGAGAGGAAAGGATGTTGGATAGACACAAACCATGTATGTCCACTGTATCTGGCCAGATTGGGTTTGTCCACCTAATACCTTTGTAATAAGAAAAACTGATTATTTTTATATCCTATGGAAAACTGATAAAAATGAAGAGACTACGCTGTATACATGCTAGTTCAAGATGGTTTTGTTCAAAAGGATTCTGATCACATTGAGTAACCGTATCTTATTTTCTTTCAGGCTCTTGAGCAATACTTGGAAAAATGTAACAGACAAATTGATGATATTGTTACCTTGGTCCGTGGCAAATTGTCCAAGCAGAATCGTGTTACTCTGGGAGCCCTCGTGGTGCTGGATGTCCATGCTAGAGATGTCCTCACATCACTTGTTAACAAAAAAGTTAATGATGACACTGATTTCGAATGGTTAAGTCAGCTTAGGTACTATTGGCAAGTAAGTGATATCACTGAATGTTATTACACAGCATTTTCAGCTCAGAGCTTTTTAATTTGTGCTGGCTTGCTCACATGGGATAGAATCAGTAATATAGGATTTTTTGCTGACGGCTGACTATACTCAAACAAGCATTCTCCAGATTGAAGATTAAGGCAGCCAAAAACTATATCTATATCATCCGTACAAAAATTATATCTATATCCAAATCCATATCAAAATGCATAGTTATATAGAAATACATATATATATAGACACACACAAATTATGAGTAATTATAAAAAAACTACTCATTTGAAATGAATCATTATGCTTGCTGAATCTGCAAAATGTTGGAACTAGTCAGTTTAAAACTGTGTTTTTAGATTCCTGATACATCTAAAGAATGTATGAATCAGACTGTTTTAGTCTGATTTAGTGATTAAAGTTCCCTTTTGTTGATCAACTGAAGGAACTAGAAACATGATCCGGAAGGAAGGTTTTATCAGGGCATCCAGGTGGATGGTGATGGCAGCTACCATTGAGAGGGCAGGAGGAGCAGGAACAGTTAGTACAGTGGACAAGGCCGGGTCTGTTGAGAGTGGGAAGAGAGAGCTGATGACTGGATATGGACTTGAAAGTTCTCGTCATGTTTGCTTTTGTGAAAGGCTTGGGAGATACAGGGTGGGAGGAGAGGAGAAACAAGAACCAGAAACCTGCAAAACCGTGTGAGAGTCGGTGTGTATAGTGGTTAGGAGCTCAGTCTGTGGAATCATTGTTTTACATGCCAGATCCTCCCTTTACCAGATGTACGACTCAGACAAGTTACTTACTCTCTTTAAGCATCAGTTTCCTTATCTGTAAAATGATGATAATTATAATATCCACTCTATAGTGAGAACAAATTGAATAGATGATTGAAAATATAGGAGAATAATGAACTATCAGAAAGAGAAATTAAGAAAATAATCTCATTTACAATTGCATCAAAAAGAATAAAATACCTAGGAATAAATTTAACCAAGGAGGTGAAAGACTTGTACTGAAAACTAGAAGATATTGATGAAATAAATTGAAGAAGACACAAATAAATGGAAAGATATTCCATGGTCATTGATTGGAAGAATTAATATTGTTAAAATGACCACACTGCCCAAAGCAATCTACAGATTCAATGCAATCTCTATCAAAATTCCAATGGCATTTTTCACAGAAATAGAACAATCCATCCTAAAATTTGTATGGAACCACAAAAGACCCCAAATAGCCAAAGCCGTCTTCATATAGAAGAGCAAAGCTGGAGGCATCACACTCCCTGATTTCAAGCCATGCTACAAAGCTATAGTAATGAAAACAGCATGGTATTGGCATGAAAACAGACACATAGAACACAGAATACAGAGCCCAGAAATAAACTCACACATATATGGCCAATTAATTTACGACAGAGGATCCAAAAATATACATTGGGGAAAGGACAGTCTTCAATAAATGGTGTTGGGAAAACTGGATAACCACATGCAAAAGAATGAAAGTGGACCACTATGTTCTACCATACACAAATATTCACTCAAAATGGATTAAAGACTTGAATGTAAGACCTGAAACCATAAAACTCTTGGAAGAAAACATAGGTGCTAAGCTCCTTGACATCAATCTTGGCAATGATTTTTTGGATTTGGCACCAAAACAAAGATAGCAAAAGCAAAAATAAACAAGTGGGACTGCATCAAACTAAAAAGCTTCTACACAGCAAAGGAAACCATCAGCAAAATGAAAAGGCAACCTACTGAGTAGGAGAAAACATTTGCAAAGCATATATCTGATAAGGGTTAATATCCAAAATATATAAAGAACTCATACAGCTCCATAGCAAAAAAAAAAAAAAAAAAAAAAAAAACGAAAAATCTGATTTAAAAATGGGCAGAGGATTTGAATAGACTTTTCCCAAACAAGTCATACAGATGGCAAACAGGTACATGAAAAGATGTTTAGCATCACTAATCATCAGGGAAACGCAAATCAGAATTACAATGAGATATCACCTAACACGTGTTAGAATGGCTATTATCAAAAAGACAAGAGATAATTGCTGGTGAGGATGTGGGGAAAAGGGAACCCTTGTGCACTATCCGCGAGAATGTAAATTGGTGCAGCCACTACAGAAAACAGTATGGATGGTCCTCAAAAAATGAAAAATAGAACTACCATATGATCCAACAATTCTACCTCTGGGTATTTATCCAAAGAAAACAAAAACATTAACTTGAAAAGATATATGTACTCACATGTTCATTGCAGAATTATTCACAATAGCCAAGATATGGAAACAACCTAAATGTCCATCAATGGATGGATAAAGAAAATGTGGTATATACACACAATGGAATATTATTCAGCCATAAAAAATGAAATCTTGCCATATTTGCAACAACATGGGTGGGTCTTGAGGACATTATGCTAAGTGAAATAAGTCACACAGAGAAAGACAAATACTATATGATCTCACTTGTATGTGGGATCTAAAAAAAAAAAAAAAACAAGCTCATAGATACAGAGAACAGATTGGTGATTGCCAGAGGCTGGGGGAGGTGGGGAGGATGGGAGTGAGGAGAAATGAGTGAAGAGAGTCAAAAGGTACAAACTTCCAGTTATAAAATAAGTCATGGAGATGTAATGTAAAGCATGGCGACTATAGTTAATAATACTGTATTGCATATTTGAAAGTTGCTGAGACAGTAGATCTTAAAAGTTCTTATCACAAGAAATAAAAATCTGTAACTATCTATGGTGATGGATGTTAACTAGACTTATTGTGGTGATCATTTTGCAATATACACAAATATTGAATTATTATATTGTACACCTTAAACTGATATAGTGTATGTCAATTATACCTTAATTAAAAAAAAAAGTGTTAGCTAGTAAAAAAAAAAAAAAAGAAAGAAAGAAAAGAAAATATAGGGGAGATAAGAAACAAATATATTTTCCAAAGATAGTATATGGGAAAAATGGAAGCCAGTGACTTCAATTACTTATCCAAGGAAATTAGATATTGAATTCTTCTACTGAATTAAATGATGTCTGAAAAGTGAATTTTAAAGGTCATGTTTACAACATGGCTATTATGTATTAAAGAGCTTGAGATTTCATATTATCTAAAATTTTATTATTTAAGCTAACTTCATTTTATCTGATTTATCCTAGGAAAATCATTTAGAAACAAAGATGATCAATGCTGGTTTACGATATGGTTATGAGTACCTGGGTAATTCCCCTAGGCTGGTTATTACTCCCCTCACTGACCGATGTTACAGGTACACTCATTAATTTAAGGATCTATTGGAAACCACTGTAACTCACCCCTAGACCACTAATTTCTTTAAAAGTACCAAATTGTCCTCCACCTGGTAAATGTATCCTATGTTATCTTTTCCTGCACATTTAATTCTCCTCTCAGTTTGATCTTCAGTTTATTTCTCTGCTGGCTTCTTCCTTTCCGCTCTGGAGCTCTAAGTATTATCATGCATTGCTGTTTTTGACATTGTTCGTTTCTCCTTTCTTCTTGGAACTTTCTGACTCTTCCTTTTGGATCACTTGAGGCATCCTGTTCCTTTCCCTGATACAGAATTTTCTAGAATTCTGTTTTCATGTGGTGTTTGGTCTCACGCTTCACGGCTCCCTGAATGTTTGCATCCACTCTCAGGCTTTAACAGCCGCCATCCTGAAGATGCCCAGATCTGTACCCGCAGCCAAGGACTCTCCTGTAAGCCTTCACCACACATGTGCCCGCTGGATGGCTCCATTAGATTTCTCATAGGTATTTACAGTTACATTTTTTTATCGTCTTTCTGAATAATAAAAGGGCTTTAATTACTTTAACTCCAAGTTACCATCTCTCATATTCCAAATTATTGTCAAATACTAAATTAAACTTTTTTTTTCGTTTTCTTCCAAAAAATTAGTCATTTTACCTAGTTTATTGACTAAACCAGTCTCAGGATGCAAGCAAAAGCAATTTTATTCTTTCTTATCACTGTCCTTTTAAACTTACTCTATAATATTTTTCCCCATTCCTGGATGAAATCTAGGATAGATTCTCTAGTCTGTCTGGTTTCTCTAAGATATTAATGAACAGTGTTATTTTATTCAGATGTTAAAAGTCCACTTAAGGGGCCAGCCCGGTGGCATAGTGGTTAAGTTCACACGCTCCGATTCGGCGCCCAGGGTTCACCGGCGTGGACCTACACACCACTCATCAAGCCATGCTGTGGTGGCATCCCACATACGAAATAGAGGAAGACTGGCAACAGATGGTAGCTCAGGGCCCATCTCCCTCACCAGAAAAAAAGTCCGCTTAAGTCTAATATCAAAGTTAATATCTTTCATCCAATTTGCAACTTCCCTTCTCCCCCAGCTGGAGCCTGACTCAAGCTCAGGGCCTGCATTTGGGAAGGTAAACGTGCTCAATCTGTGGTCATTTTTATCCCTGTCTTCCGCATCCATCCCTCAATAGCTTATTTTTTTGGCTCCTCCAGTGTTGGGGGTTGGTGGAGGAGGGGAGACGGAAAGGGAGTGGTAGGTTATATGTGGCAAGTGTCTTTTGTGACAGCTATCTCTCGGCTGTTTAGTGCCCTCAGTGAGGGCACAAGCCCAGAAGGGCCAGATCTCCCAGGGGATGTTTATGTGGGTTCTTTGGAGCCCCGGTCACTGGATTCTCCCCCCTGTGGAAAATGCCTTCTCTGGCTGGCGGTTGGTGACTCTTCCTTCAGCCTCTGTCTGAGGTCCACCACATACCGAGCCCTCTTGGGGTCTTCTCTGATTCTAGGTAGGCCTCGTTCGCAGGGTCCCTGCACAGTCATTCCGCATGACTCAGATCTGGCTCCCTCCCGGTGGGATCTGGATCTGGTCAGATGAGACACCCGCGTTTGTTTTGCCAGCAGTAGGAGTACACCTCTCTCACTGTCCCTGTTTTCCCCCGCTCTGCCGTCGGGAGAAGCTGCAGGCATTCTCTTGACTTTAAATATTTTAAGTTGTGAATCAGCTCCCAGTTCCTGTGTTCCACATACTCCAGAGGCCAATGTGCCAAGCTTTCCGAGTAGTTCCCTAAAGCCCCCTCAGTTAGCTTGGGAGAGGGACAAATGCTGCTCTCTCTTCCTCCATACAGAGGGAGGGGAAATCCACAGCACGCCAACAGCTCTTCCCAGCAGAATCCTCACTCCTGGCCTCTCATTTACAGTCTTCCTAGCCAATTCTACATGCCCTGCTGCTAGGTGACCAATCTCACTATCTATGAGATGAGATGATCTGGCATACATTGCTCTCAGCTTGGAGTTTAGTCAAAATTCGAAGACAGAAAGAACTCTATTTAGATACTGTTACATATTCTTACGACTAGTATTTATATAGGTTTACCAAAAATTTTATCATTGTCTTTACTCACTATTGCTTCTTCCTTTGCCTTATTTTTGGTTTATTTTTTCTCCTTACTAGGCAACATCTTCGAGTAATTGTTTCAGCGAGGCTCTGCAAGTAGTGAGATCTGTCAGTCTTTGTGTAAACATGCCTCTCTTCTTTTTGGTCTTCACTCAATTATTAAATGATAGGTTAGCTAGGTATAGAACTGTAGATGAACCGTAATTTTCCCTCAGCTCGCCAAAGATATTATTCTGCTGGCATTCATTGCTACTGTTATTCTAATTATTATTCCTTTGTAGGTAATTTTCTCTATTGTAGTTTCTAAGACTTTCTCTTTATTGTTGATGTTCACTGTAATGTTACTAAATGTGGATGAGTTTTTATTTTATCCTACTTGGGACTTTTTCAGTTCATGTCTTTCTTCAGTTCTGGAAAATTCTCAGCATTGCCTTTTAAACTTTGCCTTTTCCCCATTCTCTTCCTTCTTTCTTCTATGTCTTTTAACTTTTATTCTATTTGGTCTCTGTATCTCCCCAGGTGATTTCCTCATATTTATCTTCTAGTGCATACTTCTGTTTCTTTATGTTTATTCTGCTATTTAATGTGTTCATTCAGTTTTTAAAAGTTCAATGATTATATTTTTCTTTGCTAGATTTCAAGTTGTCTCTTTTTTTGACTTTTTTTCCTCACAATTTTCTGATGTCTATTGCTTTTCATTTAAAATCTCATTGAACAAACCACCAGGATACCAAAGAAGGCAGAGTGCCATGTATGTAGTAACCCCCCAGACCTTTGCCCATCTGCCTTTGCCACTGCAAGTCTGACTCCTAAGTCTGATGTCTCTCCCTCCAGTTTTAACTGTGAGCTCATTTTAGTAGGGTTGTTTCTCCATACAGTCTTACATGTTCTCAGCTGTGGAGGTGTCCCTGTGGAACCGTTTCACATTTATCTCTGAGAAGGGCTCTAGGCTTTTCTCGGGTCCAGAACAAAATTTTAATGTTAATTTCTCAGTCTGGGTTCATGTGCCCATGGGTAGTGGAATTTGGACCCCACCCCTATGAATGATGTAGGCTTCTCATTGGGCCCTGCATGAAGGGTAAGCTTCCTGTCTCTTCCGTAGTTGACTCTTCTTTATCTCTCTTGAGTCGGTTGCTGGAGTAATTTTAGTTCCCATTTAGAGACAAGGCAGCCTTTAAAGGCTTCTAGGTTTATAGAGGTGAATCCATCCAGCTCCTCACCTTGCTCAGTTCTAAGAAGTTATTTTCTGTTTCTGTGTGGCCATAAATAAACTTGTGTTTATATGCAGATCCCAAAACAATATGCACCTCTACACTGGAGCACTTAGTTACTTTTCCACCTTTGCATTCCCTCTTCATTGGTAATTTCCTTTTCAGTCTTTCAAAAATGGCCATGTATTTCAAAAACTGTTTTCCTTTATGTAGCATTTACATATGCTTGCAGGAGGGAGATTTGGTCGTTCAGGATTAGCTGAATTCTCCGTAGTGACCATAAGTCAGCATTGAATTTCAAACATGAATTTGTTCTGATTTTGTCATATATACAGCTTTTCAGAAGTAAAATATAATAAAAGACAAAGTAATGCACAGTCAAAGATTTTCAGAGGTTAGTGAGAAGGAAGAAATTATTGAAGAGGAAGTGGAAAATTTGGCTTTCGGGTTAAACTTTTCCTTCTTTAAGAATGTATATGAAAAAAAATCACATTACTCTACAAAAATTGTTTTTTTCTTGTGTTTCAGAACCTTATTTGGAGCCCTTCACCTGCACCTTGGAGGAGCACCTGAGGGGCCAGCTGGCACTGGAAAGACTGAAACTACCAAAGATTTAGCAAAAGCTGTAGCCAAACAATGTGTTGTTTTCAACTGCTCTGATGGATTGGATTATCTGGCTTTAGGAAAATTCTTTAAGGTTTGAATTGACTCCTCATTTCTTTACAATATGATAACTGGTCAGAGAAGAAGATTATTTATAATGAAACTAATGCAAGTAAAAGACTTACTGTAGTTTAAGTTAAAATTAAAGTACTATCTCAATAATTCTCAAGGGCAGTAGGGTTATATAAAAAGCTTATTTGAGAAGGAGCTCTACCTCCCTCTCCAGTCCCTGCTATAATGGGTCAATATCACTGACAGGAATGAGTGATGTCCCTCCAATGCACTGGGGCAGCTGAAAGTTCGAGAACCACTACATGGTATAAAGATTGTGGGAATATAAAGCCTTCTTTAACCTGTACATCTTGTTATTAGCAAGTTATGATTCAATAATTCACTTTGTAGACACATTCTAGTTAATCTTTTTTGGTGAACTTGAAATCCTGGTTTTGTCTTTTTCTTATTCTGAGTCAAATTCTCCCTCTTATGAGTCTGTAAGATTGCAAGAGGGGGAATTAAAGATGTAAAGTCTTTATAAACCCATGGACATCTGGTCATTTTAGCACTTTGTTGCTACAGCCTGTTATTCCTTAAAATGTTAGGTGCTACAATTGAACACAAAATTATCCATTTGGGATTATGGGTTCTATTTATTTATTTGTTTGTTTTATTTCTATTTTTCTATAATTTTTCAAAGTACATTTTAAAGATTCTGTAACCTGACTTTTCCAAAACTTCTCCAGAAAAAGTTAACATTTTGAAAAGTAACCAAACTAACACAAAAGAATATACCAATCCTACCCCATACAGTAAACTGTTCCTGGCTGAACGAAGGCCTGGTCATTTTATAACAGATGTGGAATATAAAAAGTCTCTACATTTGTGATGCTGAAACAAGTAGAATAAGAGTAAAAAAAAAAGTCAAAATTACAATAAATAAAATATCAAGAAAACATCTGAATGACCAATTACTATTTTAATCATGTTCTGTAATGATTATTGTTCTAATAATTATTTAAGAAAGAAATAGCAAATCTAAAAGATCCACATGTAGTTTGAACAGCCATTATATTCCTAAACGTTTAAAGAAAAATCTGGTATGTACTACTCAATTTTTGAATCTCTATAATGATATTCTTAATTCTTTGATATAGATGCATACACTAAGAATATTAAATTTGCTTATTGATAAGTATTTATTGATTATACAGACATTTTGTGTTAGGACTATGCTGAATAATGGGGGTACAAAATAAAAAGACATGGGGCTTTCTGTTAAGAACCTCACAGTCTGTGAACTGAATATGTGGCTTCGTAAACATTCTGTTCTCTGTGTTTTCTAATCCTTTTATTATATTGGGTATTAGAGATCAAAGTCATAGACAGAGTCTTCTCTAAATAATGAAAATATACTATTCTTTGACATGCATGGAGTTCTTGTTTAATCCAGTGTGGTTCAGTAGATTGGACTGGGTACAAATTCAAGATCAGCCACTATTAGCTGTGCGGCCGTGTGTTAATTACTTAACGTCTTGTAGGATATAGCTTTAGTTTCCTTGCACAAAAGATGTATACAAAGTGCCACGCATCATGCCTGGCACATACCAGGTCTCAATGAAACACACATACGTACATATACGATCTACAGAATGTGCATTCAATAAATATTTGTTAAATTAATCTTGCAAAAAAGTAAATCTGGACTGAGCTATTCAAGCTTGCTTTTCCAGCTTTTCCTTATGAGCAAATGGCACATATTTGTGAGGTAGCTGTGAGTTAGGATTGCAAACTAGGGGCTCAAACTATGTTAATTGGCTATTAAGGTGCTCAGACCACAAAGTAGTCTCACTGGCAACAGAAGTCATTTTATTTAGAGGATTATCACAATCCCTTCTATGGAGTCCATACGGAAAACCCAAATAAAATCAGTTGGTAATTAAAAAGTAAGAAAAGCTTTGAAATTACAGGTATACATCTAAATCTGAAAGTAAAAAATTTGTGTATCAATTGGAAAATTTTCCAATTGATCAAACTCTTTATTCATGCGGAATAGTGAATTGGTAATAAAAAATAAGCCGTCTTTAAAAATAAAGGTGAGGGCCGGCTCCGTGGCTTGGCGGTTGAGTGCGCGCGCTCTGATGCTGGCGGCCCGGGTTCGGATCCCGGGCGCGCCCCGAGGCACCACTTCCTCCAACGTGAGGCCGAGTCCCACGTACAGCAACTAGAAGGATGTGAACCTATGACATACAACTATCTACTGGGGCTTTGGGGGGAAAAACTGAATAAATAAAATCTTTAAAAAAAAAATAAAAATAAAGGTGAATAAGCAATTTCCTTGATAGGATATTAAATCCTTGAAAAGATGAGGTGAAAATGCAACATTTCAATGCAATATTCAATCAGATAAAATTGAAAAATTTCATTACTCTTTTCTCGCAGGGACTGCTATCTTGTGGAGCCTGGGCTTGCTTTGATGAGTTTAACAGAATTGATTTGGAAGTACTGTCTGTGGTTGCTCAACAAATTCTTACTATCCAAAGAGGTAATGGGCTGATTTGTCTTTGCATTATATGAAGACAGTAGAAATATGGGAGGTAATGAATGGCACAAGTCACATTTATCTGTGGAATTGCTAAGTCATTTAATTCTTGATTACCCACAGGTATTAATGCAGGTGCTGATATACTAATGTTTGAAGGAACTGAACTAAAACTTGACCCCACGTGCGCCGTCTTTATTACCATGAACCCTGGATATGCCGGGCGATCAGAACTGCCAGATAATCTGAAGGTACAGAAGGGGCAATTGTATCATCTATTTCCTTTCTGTAATTTACAAAGTTAATATATAAAAAGAAAGAACAAGCTGTCCTTGAATTTTATGCAAAATATTTGCTTTGAGATGTTCTATTTTAGACAGCTATTTTAGAAAATATTTTTTAAAGCTTTGAGTACCTTTAAGAAGTAAATATATGAACCAGATGCAGCTTCCAAAACTTATATTTTAAAAATAGTGGTAATTATAGAAAATATAGGAGATACTAAAAAAGGTACTCATTCTACTGCTTGCTATCTTGTAGCCCTCAATTTTAAATGCCTTTTACAATGCCAGTTTTAAGTGCTGAAATCAGACAATTATGTATACTGCGTGTTTTTTTCAAGTTAATATTATAACACAAGCATTTTCCTGTCTTTATAAACATAATTCAAACTGTAAATAAATTTACTGAGCTGTGTCTTACTGTTGGACATTTAGGTTGCTTTTAGTTTTCCTTCATTATAAATAATATTACAATGGGCAGTTTTTACTTAAGGCTTTTCTCTTTTTAAAATATTTCCTTAGGTAGAGTCATAGGACCAAGAGCTGTGTTGCTAAATTGCCTTCCAACAGAGGTCGAAACAATTCATATCCCACATCAATTCTCAATTCACATTAATACCCAGCACTAATTTTTTTTTAATAAAAAGAACAAAACAGTTTGCTAATTGAATAGACTAGAATCTTCACTTAAAACAAAAAAAACTTTGATTATTGGTGAAATCCAACATTTTCCCCATATATTTGTTGGGCATTTCATGTCCTTTTCTGGTGAATTATGAACCTATGGCTAGCACATAGAGAACAATATTGAAGAATAATGCAGTGGGAGTTGTGGGTCCAAAACGAAGTCTTCTGCCTCTGAATCATACATTCCTTCCCCTGTCCACATGTTTAGACTGACAGCTTCTCAGGCTAGTTGAGGAATTTTTCTTTTCCACAAAAAAGACTTTTGATTCGACTAATTGCTGCCAAGTATTTTTGTATTTCCATTCCATGCATTTTTATATGTTAGATGAGATGTTTTAGTACTTTGCCTTAGTGGAGGAAGGTATGATTAAAAAATAAAAACTGGTAAATCCTCTTTTATCTAAGAAGCATGTTGTGACTTTTCATTGCTTTCATTGGAAAGCTCTTTTTTAGCAGTTCTTTTATACACTCATGTTTTTCTTTTATTCAGTAGGCTCAATCTCATACATAAATATTTGTAAAGGCAAAAATCTGTGAGTAGCTGGTCATAAAACGCTGGGACCATTATTGGTTGAGCCTGTTAATGCCCTATGCAGACTTTTCCATGGTTTTACTTACTGTGCGTGTTGAAACAGTGTCAAAATATTCACCTTGTGGTTCTTGGGCTAATGTATTTTTCTTCTACTTTAGGCCAAAAGCTGCTCTCAAATTTTGTTAGCTGTTTTTCTTGTTCCTCCTATTGTTCAGTCTTCTTGGTTAGAGCTGCCACAGAACATCTGTTTTCAAGTATATATGGAAATACCTAACAATTTTGAAAAAATGCCTTAGTCTGCAATGAAAGAGATATGTATTCCTAAAAAAAAAGTCTGCTGAGGGCCCGAGAGTGTTGTTATCAGTCTTCAGAGTCAACCTTGAAGCTTCCCTCTTCTTCTTCTGGTCGGTCAGCCAGTCACCAAAAGCAGGGATCCTATGTCACCAGTCTTATAATTCCTGCTGCTCCTGTCCAGTCCCCCTGCCACGCATCGCTTCCACCCCTCTTCGGTCTTCTCTTGCATGTCTTATTGCAACAGCTCCCTTGTCACCAATCTCATCACTACTGAAATTCTCTATGGTGAATTCCCCATTATAATGCTACCAGTGTCATCGGAAGAAATCTAATCCTATAATTTCCAGACTTAATAAACTGCTGGGCTCCTTTTTGCCTACAGAAAAAGGCTCTGATCTACAAGAGCCTTTGCACTAGGACCTGTAACTGCATCTGTACTGCCGTCTCCCTGCTTCTGTCTGTGACCCTGGGCCTCACTAGCCCCTGAAGGTCCCATGCCTTTGTACATGCTGTTTACTGCCTTCTGAGCACTCTTGCTAAATCACCGCTTTTCCTGCCTGACAAATTCATACTCATCCTTTAAGCTAGCAGTGAGCTACTAAACATACATACAGTTCAGATATGACCTTCTGGGTGAAGCCCCTTGACCTGGCAGAGGTTTACAGCTGAATCTTTCTATCCTGCTCATGTCGGTGGGTTCTCGGGGACTCCTCTGTTAGGTCTCTCCACCGGCAACTCCTGAGACTTGGATGATGGATTCTGTTTCTCCAGTTGTCACTCCCTCCTCTCTGCCTGGGTCTCTGGTGGGTGATTCCATGTAGACTTCACTGTTGGAGAGCTCTCACTTTGCCAGGGGGTATCTTGGGTAGGAATGAAAGTGACTCTGGCTTGGCTCTCTCTTGCATGTGCATCTCTTGCATCCTTTGTCCCAACAAACTCTGGGAATGAAGGCCACATTGATCCTGCTACCATAGGCCGCTTTTTCTTTACCAGACATGAATCAGGCACCAATCTCTATCTCCCCAAATATGAGGATACCCATCAAGCTCTCACTGAACTTGGGGGCGATGAGTGGGAGATTGTGGGAACTCACAATGGAAATCTTTTCACAAATCCTCCCGCCTTCCTTACTCTCTCAAATATTTTACGATCTACAAGTAAGTGAGAAGTTTGCAGAATTGTGTACATTTCCTTTGTAAATTTTGCATATTGGGCATACTTTTGTAACTGGTGTTTATCATATCATGCAGAAAGAGTCCCATTTTGATGTCCTATTCTGGATAAAATCTGCATAGTAGAGCAATTTCTTAAACACATCTCCACTTTAGAGAAGCTGTGTTTTATATTGAAACTATTCTAAAGAATCAATACTCAATAATTGTTTCAGACTAGTTAAGTATTAGAAGCCATGGTAAAATAGGCATATTCTAGATCTTCTAATGTCACAAAGCCAATAACTTGATCCATAACTTTCCAGAGAGTATGTAGCATGAAACACCCCAGCAGTATGGGGGAAAAAAGTGAAGTAGATCCTGAATCCTCCATTTCATTCAACTAAAACCTAGCTCATTCCTGAACAGGTCACAATATTTATGAAATCTATCTCTAGTCCTTTGGAAAGAAACGGTAAGAAGTTATTGCTTGAGGATTTTTTTTTTTTTGTACCAATATACAGTCCTTTGAAAGCATACTCTAGGAAGTATGTGTACATGGAGGGTAATGCTCACATGGATTACATGTACTGGAATTTATTGAAGCCCTGCATGTTACCTGGATCTATAACCCCGCTCTTTTACACTCAAGAAAGTGTGTTATTGGGTAAGCTAGAATCCAATTTAATTTTTTCTAAATAGCACTAAATTATCTTTAAACTTATTGCTTTTACTAACAAATTCTTTCTGACACATCCCAAATCAAACCATATCATATCAGTACGTCATCCACTTTGTTTGAGAACCTTTAAATTAGAACATCCACCACTATAATAGTTTAGGTCTAAAAAAATATTTTGATCAGGATGCTTTTCTCTGTGATAAATAAGAATCAATGTTAAATTTTTGGTGGAGGACTCCTATTAAATGGAACATTATGATAACCTCTTGAAACTGGTTTACCTTGCTCTATTTTTTCTTCTCCTGGCCACCAATGTCTGTTTCATGGTGTCACACAGACATATTGCTAATAGTGCTGAGAGAATGTAAATAGGACGGTCAGAGGGAAACCTACAACACGCAGACCTGGATGTTGACTCCAAACTAGTAGAAATTTGTACTATTGTGGAAAGACTGTATCACCCTAGCATAGCCATTGGCCGACTGACTGATTTGTTAATTCACTTATTCTCTCTTTTATTCATTAAAAAAAAAAAGCTGTTGAGAGCCTACCCTTTAAAAGTGGTACCATTTGTATAGTAATTCCCTTGCATTCTTTTTTCCTCAAGTATGCAGTGGTTAGAACACTCGCTTAAGCTTCTCTTTTCCAAATTATTTGCTCAAGCTATATATTTGTAACATTTTATTCCTTCCTTTCTTTAATGGTAACCTTATTGATAAAATAGCAGTACTAAGGCCTTTAGCTAGTAATTAACATAATACGTTGGAAGGATCTTACGTGATGTGAATCTTTTATTTGTTCTCAACTTGGAAGAGTCATAACAGATCACTTAAGCAAGATGTTCTTATTTTCTATCTGCCTTGTGTTTTTGGTAATTCAACTAATTCCCAGAAAGTATTTATAAAATATCTGAATACAATTGTCATTCACTACAATTGTCATTCACTATCTGAATACAGTTGTCATTTTTCTAGAATATTGTTGTTTTCTCTCTTTAGTACAAGAATGTCATGTTTTAATACATGAGCTATTGAAGTATGTCCTGACACACACAACCTTCTAACTTAAATTTTCTTATTTATTGTTTTAAAATCTATTCAGTTTTCTATTTACTTACCATCACATGACATTTATTTATCCCACAATATTTAAAACACTATGAGAAAATAGTATCTTTATAACTGGGAAAATTGATTTATCTCTAATAATTATTATGCATGTCTCATTTCTAGTTTTTTTCCTTTATTTTGCTTAGTGAAAGACTGACCTGGTGACTGCAGACTCAAAAGGGTTAAGCTTTGTTATTAGGGGTTACCTGATTAACCCCAAATCAGACAGGTACTTAGATCCCCAGAGAGCCTCCGTTGAAGGCCAGTCTCCCACACTAGTCCAGACGAGGACCCAGCTTTTGGACATCCTAGCAGTCTGGTGCTTTTTTCCTATAACGTGTTGCTTCCCAGGAAGAACAGAATATAATTGACACTTAACATTTATGTGAATTAATAATTTACCAAAGATCTAAGTATGATAGAAATTTGAAAGGGTTCTTAAAACATAATTTAAGGAAAAATATACAAAAAGTTAATGATGTATTTATTATATAACAATAACAAGAGACAAATTTTTTAATTAAGTGTTTATATGATTTGGACATTATAATTTAATATTTTGCAGAAAAGGTATACAGTTGTAACATGCATAAAATGAAGAGTTATCTTTATGATGGTCTTCTTAAAAGCACCTTTTCTCCACTCCTATAGGCTCTCTTCCGGACGGTAGCAATGATGGTGCCTGACTATGCCATGATTGCCGAAATAGTCCTGTACTCCTGTGGGTTTGTCACAGCTCGGCCACTGTCAGTAAAAATTGTGGCTACATATCGCTTGTGTTCAGAGCAATTGTCATCTCAGCATCACTATGACTATGGGATGAGAGCCGTGAAATCAGTGCTTACGGCTGCTGGGAATCTAAAGGTAGAGAACTCAAGTGTTTCTTGCTCATAAATTTCCCATTTGTAAATCTCAGAACCATGTGTCTTCACAGAGTTCCAATAACTTGTTGGTTTCATCAACTGAAAAAAATTCAGTTACTAAAATTGAAAAAAATTGAAAATTGAAAAAATTATTGTACTAAAAAAGATTATTTTGCACATGTGAAAAAGGAAATTTTATGTTTTGTAACTTTACACATGTAATTATTAGTGATTTGAGTTCTGTTCCATAATTTTAAATATATGAAACTAGATACTACCAAGGAATAAAATTTTTTGCTGCTGAGAAATATTTTGAAGGCTTTCAGTTTATATGAACATGAATAGCTTTAAAGGAAATAATGTATAATTAATAAATTTACAAAAATTTAAATTTACAAAAGTCCCTAAACATTATCACTTAATATAATTACACAATTGCAGCCAGCTGTAGACTAGCAGTAATAGATTTGCAATATAATGTTTGCATTTTAAAATAGCATAAATCATAACCATATAGATGAAAATCCAAATATTTGAAGACTTGGGTAACTTTTCATTGGAAATATTTTGTGGAACCGTGAAATATAACTGTATATTAGTTCTTTATGAAAGCAAGCAAGATAGGATACAGTTAACAGCAAAATGCAAAAAGTGACCTTGAAGTTTATAAAACTTTCATGTTAATGATTTGTAGAAGATAAAGATTTTAAAATACATCCTACATGATTAAGAACAATGGCATGCATTTTTATCTTCTATAATAATGTTATCAAGAATTCTGATATATAGTGTTGATATTCTATTTCATATTAGCTTAACATAACTTCAAGTCATTTTGTTTTGCAATAAACAAATGCAACTAGAAGCAACAATTTGTATTAATCTGGCATGTTATGATTACATTGTGGTCAGATAATGGGAAAGATAATGCATTGTCCTCATGTATGTCATCACTGACATCTTGACTATAGAATTGAGCTGTTAAAGTTACGCAGCAAATGAATCCTGCAAATGAATCCTGTCATTCTTTGTCAAAAGCTCATTTAGAATTGTTGAATGTGTTGGCTTGAATATTTTGAAGTTTGTTTCTATTATATTAAGAAACAGTTTATACATTTGCTTTAAAATAATAGCTTCTCAAATAACAAAACAGATTGACACTTCATAATTTGTGTGTGGTTAGATTGATCCAAAGACAAAGTCCATATGAGCAGGACTGGCTTTGGCGTTGGGAGCTCTGGAGAGTCAGAGACAGCTGAACTTGACTGCCAGGCATCACCGACTTTGTAAAGTTAAAACCAGATAAGTAGGAACATGGAATTTATTAGGCAGAGAGATTCTAGAGAAAAAAAAAAAAGAAGGTTCTGGAAAATTAAATGCATGATAATAGGAGAAACTTTGGAATGAGATGTTAAGTAAAATATTAAAGTTGGGAGAAATAACACTGGGTTCAGATTTTTGTGAATTATGTGAACCTTGTTATGGGCATAAGCAACAAGTTCAGAGTTCAATGAGATTTTTGGGGGACATACCACAGGTGTTTTGGAATTTAGTATGAATTTCCTGAACACCATCTACTTAAGTGACTTAGTGTGTTAACCAGCCCTCTCCACTCTGTCTGTGGACCATACTAACACACGCCCGTACTGAGCCCACAGCCAGCAGGCAGCGCACTGCTCTGCCCTCCCCCTTTGGCTTCTACCAGATGAACTGTGTTCCTTACCCGGGGTCAGTTTGCTTGTTCCTGAAACTTTCTGAAGCCAGTTGGACATGTTACTGTTATTATGTCATTCAATCAAATGTTGAGGAAACTGATAATGTATAAGCATGAAAAGAAGAAGAGTTTTGTTTTTATGAAAATTAAATTCACTGTTTAAGAAAGATTCCATAAAGATGAAATGCTAAAAATTTGACTTTGAATTAGGTATGGATAAGAAAAGTATATAAGACTGAAAAAACCCTAAAATACTGATAATGATGCTACACTTAGAATATCTCACAAGTATCTTTGAAGAGCATGACCCTCTTTAAAAAACAAAACAAACCAGAACACAACACAATGGAGCAGAGCAGATGACACATTATTGATGTGTTTTTTGCAAGGAAAATGGCGCAGAACTCTACATCCAGAGAAAAGGTCTTGGCTTCAAAATATGGGCAAATGAGCAAATGTTTATATGTTTTAAATTTAAATGCATGTTTAAAAATGATTGCCTGCTTTTAATAATTATTTTCACTCAATCAGCCCATTGCTCGTCTTGAATGCATAAGCAAGCTCCTACTCAATATACAGGCAATGGCAGCTCCCAAACTATATTGGAGTCATGGCCAACAGCTTTTTACCCAGAGCATCTGTGAAAAGGTAGTTAGTTCAACCTAGGTTTTTATTATAAACTAGTAGAAAATTCAGCAAGTACAAATGGCAGTTTCTAAAATTAATAACAACCCAATTATATGAAAATAGATAAGAACAACAATTTTGCATGAGTTTAAATTGCCTCTGGGGCCTGTATGCTTGTGTGTGTGAACATGCAGGGGTGCAGTTAGCAGATGCAGATTTCATCATGAGTGTATTCTCTTTCAGCTGAAATATCCAAATGAAAATGAAGAAATCTTGCTGCTTAGATCTATTATTGATGTAAATCTGCCAAAATTTTTGTCTCATGATTTACCGCTCTTTGAGGTAAGAACATTTATTATTCCAATTTATCAAAACTCTTATAATAGTGTATTTATCAAATGTCCAAGTTTGCAACTCCCTACGAGAAACTTCCACTATAGAAAACAATGGTACGGCACAGAGAAACATAGATCATTCCATGTTTTATTTGAAGTGTGTTTAGTTAGCTTTGTTGCTTTGGATGACTTTCAACAACTTGGGATTTTTAAATAGTACTTTTTTTTTTACTGCAGAATATAATGAGCACACAAAAGTTACAAAATATGTTTGCCTATAAATTGCACTAGACTCTAGGCTCCGTGAAGGAAATTAATCTACCACACCACTGAGTCCCTTGCACAGAATAGGTACTTGGTAAATGTCTGTTAAATTAATGATTGAAGAAATAAAAAAATAAGCTTAATTTCTTTAAAAGAATGCAATGGCTTTTATGAAATTGTTTTTTCAAGATAATTTAAGATAAGAACTAAGCTTAATAATTTTGTTATATTTTAAAGAGTAGGCTATGAGTAATTGAGAAGGATTCGAATGATGGTTCTAAAATTTGCCTATTATCATTTGATGTCATTCTTTTCCTTTTCCCCATCTCAGATGGAAGAAATTCGGGGGGCTGAGGGCTCCTGACAAATGTTAGATGTTGGGCAGACTTGGGCTGCCTTGGAGCCAGGCAACTAGCCTCTAGAGTGTAAAGGCTGAGGTCGTTATGGCTGTCGTGGGGAGGAGGCAGTGACGCTGCCCCTGTAGTGTGGTCAGTGTTGTCAGCTGTCCAGAGCAACCATGTTTCATCGGTCTGAAAAGAGCTTTCCTTAGTACTTAGAGCTGGCAGTGCAAATATTTTATAAAGCAAATCTACAAGGAAAGGGTTCAGATTTTCTTCCTGAAGTTTGCCCTCAGTTTCTTTAGTACTAGTACGCTGTACAGATTTTCTAGGAGTAAAGCTGTATTTATTTTCATAAAGTAGAAATATACCTCACTAGATGTATTCTCATGCACTTACGTATTCATTCAGTGAAAATCTATGGGGCAGTATTTCACAAATGGAACATGGTTGGCATTTTCAAACGGGACAATCCCTTGTTGCGGGAGACTGTCCCATGCGTTGCAGAACGTTTGGCATCCCCACCCCCCGCCCCTACAGACCTCCCCATTGTGATGACCAGAAGGACACCTCCACTTATTTTCAACTCACTACCTGACGGGAGCATGAGGAGTACTGGTCTTGGTTGAGTGCCACTGAATACCAAATATCTTCAGGAGTTGTCTGCTTCTTTCAGGGTCAAGCATAAACAATCTGAGAAGATATTTTTGTTTATTTAGCAAACACTATATACTTACTATGGATCAGCCACTATTCTAAGAGTTTTCCAATAGTAATTAATTTAATGCTCTTAATGACCCTATGGGGCAGATGCTGCCATTACCCCTATTCTACAGATGATGTAACCGAGGCACAGAGATGATAAGTACCTGGTATTTATGGCTAGTGCATGAGGGAGTGGGGATTCCCGCCACGCAGTCAAGCTGCAGTGTCTTAACCACTCTGCTGAGTTGCCGTCTCTTCTTTGCCCCAAGGAAACTTACTGCTCTGATAAACTGGGATCAGTTTCTCCATAAAAGCATTTAAAGAGTTAAATTTAGGGTAATTGAACTAGTAATTTGTAAATGCTAAAGTATAGCTTGAATGTATGCTTCCACTGTAAGCACTTCTGGATTTCCACTTTTACCTTCAGAGTAAAAAGAAATAGTCATATTTCTCATATAAGTTGCTTTAATACTTATAAAATAGCCTTAGCAGTTTATAAAGGAATGTTTATTAGACCCTACTATGAACTTTATCTATTCATATATACTAGAAGTGGAATTGTAATTTTTTCCAATCATACATTATATAATTATATTAGTTTCCTAGAGCTACCATAACAAAGTACCATGAACTAGGTGGTTTAAGACAACAGACATTTATCCTCTCACAGTTCTGGAGGATAGAAGTCTGAAATCAGCCTTCCTTCTGAAGGCTCTAGGAAAGAATCCTTCCTTGCCTCTTCTTAGCTTCTGGTGGCTCCTGGTAATCCTTGATGTTCCCTGGCTTGGCTTGGCATCTATCCAATCTCTGACACCATCGTTACACAGCCTTCTTCCCTCTGTGTCTTTGTGTCTGAATCTGCCTGTCCTTTCTATTATAGACACCAATCATTGGATTTAGGGCCCAGTAGGACCTCATCTTAACTTATCTAATTACATCTGCAGAGATCCTACTTCCAAATAAGGTCACATTCTGAGGTTCTGGGTAGACATGAATTTTTGAGGGACGCTAAGCTGATTAAAATACTACCCACTATAATGATTAAAGTGCTTGAACTGATTTTTGTATATGGCATGAGATATGGCTTGAAGTTTATTGTTTTCGCAAATCCAGGTATTCTAGCATCATTTGTTGAAGACTTTCTATCTTGTCTCTGCTGAATTACCTTTGTGCCTTTGTTGAAAATCAATTGTGTACAGGTGTGTGGGTCTATTTCTGGACTTCCTATTCTGTTTCATTGATATATTTGTCTATCTTTATACCAGGATGAAACTTTGAAATAATAAGCTTTGAAATCAGACGGTGTTCATCCTCTAACTTTTTAACTTAAAAATATTGTAAGACTATATGTAAAACTATAAAATTTCTAGAGGAAAACAGGAGAAAGCCTTTGTGACTTTGAGTTAGGCAAAATTTCTTAAGTACAACACCAAAAGCACAATGCATAACATAATAAATTGGTAAATTGGACTTATCAAAATTAAAAATGCTTGCTCTTTGAAAGACACTGTTAGGAGAATGAAAGACAAGCTACAGATTAGGAAAAAATATTTGTAAATTAGATATATGATGAATGACTTGTATCCAGAATATTTAAATAATGGTCAAAACTTATCATTAAGAAAATAAACCCATTAAAAATGGGCAAAAGATTTGAACAGGCACTTCACTAAAGAAGATATGTATATGACAAATAAGCACATACAAAAATGTTAGTCATGGGGAAATACAAATTGAAGCCACAATAAGATACTGTTACACACCCATGAGTATGACTAAAATTAAAAAGACTGATCATGCCAAATATTGGAACTCTCATACACTGCTGGGGGGAATGTAAAATAGTACAACCACTTTGGAAAACAGGCAGTATCTTAAAATGTTAAACACACGCCCGCCATATTATCCAAGTGCTCCACTCCTCGGTATTTACCCAAGACAAATGAAAGTATTTGTCTGTACAAAGACTTGTACACGAATGTTTATAGCAGCTTTATCTGTAATAGCCCCAAACTGGAAACAATGAAAATGTCTACAACAGGGGAATGGATTTAAAAACTGTGGCACTTCAATACAGTGGAATACTCTTCAGCAATAAAAAGGAATGAACTATTATACATGCTATGACCTGTGTGAATTTCCAAATCTTTATGCTAAATGAAAAAAGCCAGGCCAAAAAAAGTAGTAAATATAATGTGTAATTTCATCTATATTAAATTCTAGACAATGCAAATAAAAATAGTAACAGAAAGCAGATCAGTGGTGCCTGGGGATGGAGGTAGGAGGCAGCAAAGAGAGAAGGAAGGAAGATTACAAAAGGTCACAAGGAAACTTTTGGGAGTGGTGGATATGTTGATTATTTTGATTGTGGTGATGGTTTCACTTATCAAATTGAACATTTTAAATATATGCAGTTTTTTGTATGTCAATAATACCTCTATAAAGGTGTTAAGAATACTGATGAACTATTATTTAATGGCTCTATTTCCTTTAGTATTAATCATGAGAATGAGAGAAATTTTATTATGCTTATATGTGCGTGTGTATATATGTATATGTGTGTATATGTATTTATATATATATAGAGAGAGAGAGAGAATTTATAGATATATAATGTAAATCTCCAAACTATCTATCATCAGGGAATTACTTCAGATTTGTTTCCTGGGGTGAAATTACCAAAACCAGATTACAATGATTTGCTGGCAGCTATCAAAGACAACTGTGACTCCATGAATTTGCAAATGACCAGATTCTTTTCTGAGAAGATTCTTCAAATATACGAAATGATGATTGTGCGTCATGGTTTTATGATTGTTGGAGAACCGTTTGGAGGAAAAACCAGTGCATATCGTGTCTTAGCTGGAGCACTAAATGATATATGTGAAAAGGTAAGTGTGATAGTAATGCGTTAATTTATTTATAATCAGCTTTGTGCGAGATAGAATATATGGTCATTTTAAAAGATACTTTAATGCAGCAACTTAAAAATCATGAAAAAAATGAGTCAAAGAGAAAATAAAATTAGAAAAGTAATATGAAGCAACTAGGAAGTTCAGCATATAAAGGGTATGACACAGATTTGCCTCTTAATCTTTTTTTTCTTCTTTTTAAATTTTTAATTATAAAGGTACCACATGTTCATTGTAGAAAAAAAGTCTGAAAACATGAAAAAACCTGAGGGTTTTCTTTTTATACTTTTAGGAGAGTATTTTTTATTTTCTGGGTGGTTAGATTTGTAATGCAAACTTCTGTTACTGGCTGCTAGTGGTACTGAATTGAAATGTTTGTGTGTGTATTATATAATACACACATATGTACATATTTATAATAAATAATGACGCTTATATTATTCAAAATTCCTGTCCTACACATCACAGTTTGGTCTCCTTAGATATGCAAAAGGAGTGAGGCTGTTTTAAATTCTCCAACAAGTATTGCATTTCTGTCTATTTCTGCTTGTATTTCAAACAGTTTTTGCTTCACATACTTCACTGTTTGTAGCCTGTATGGGATTTGTGATCATTATGTCTTCATTGTGGAGTCTCCCCTTCAACCAATAGAGAATTGTGTCCTTGTTCTGTTATTTGCCTTGGCTCCCCTGTGTCTAATTTCAATATTGCAACCCCTGCTTTCTCCTTGCATATGTATTTGCCTATGTCTTTAATTGTAACTCTGGGTATCACTGTGATTTACTTTTTATAGAGAGTAAATGGTTGACTTTTATTTTCTCCAGTTCAATGGTCTTTATCTTTTCATAGGGAAATTTAAATTCCTTTATATTTATTAGTATACAAACTGGTATGCTGTTTGTTTCTGTTTCTTCTGCTTTTGTACATCCATGCTATTTCCTTTCTTCTCCTCCTTTCTCTTTCCTTTACCCTTCCTGCCTTCCTGCCATCCTGCCTTTGTTTTCTTGGGGTTTTTTTTTTTGTTTGTATTTCTCCTGTTTTGTTGTTTGTTATATGGATTAATTGTTTTTGCTATAAAAAAATAAACAAGTCTCTAAAAGAGCCAGATGTGGTGCCACTAAAGGTTAAAGAAGATGAAGATATGAGCATGTATTCTGGTCTAATTGTAAAGCCCCAAATGGTTCATTACCAGGAAATTCTAAGAGCGACATCGTGGTGATATAAAAGAGGCAGGCCTCCATAGCCACTGCGTGCAAGCTACAGTTTCACACCAGCCTCGCTGCATTTGGGACAAAAACCTTGCTTCGGTGGCAGCAATTTTTTCCTGCCTCAGAAGAGGATAGAGCTTTCCCATGCTTCTGAATTTAGGGTGACACATTGTCATCCCCTTCCTGGGCACAGAGAAGAAAGCAAAGACCCGACTTCAAGCTTGTTTACTGCTTAATATTATTATTCCCACATCTTTTCTTCAGTTTGGCAGCTTGTATCCTAAACTCCAGGGGTGACGGGTGGAAGGCAGTGTTGGGCAGAGTTGAACTTGCCATGTTATTATCTGTAAAAGAGAAATGACTATGACTAGGTAGAGCACAGGGGATTTTTAGGGCAGTGAATCTCTTCTGTGTGATACTGTAATGGTGGACACGACATTATGCATTTGGCAAAACCCATAGCACGTACAACACAAAGAGTGAACCCTAATGTAAACCGTGGAGTTTAGTTAATAATAATTTGTCAGTATCAGTTCATCAATCATAACCATGTACCACACCAGTGCAAGGCTTTAGTAATAGGGGAAAATGTGTGTGGGGGGCGGAAGGCAGAGAGAATATATGTGAATCTCTGTACTTTCTGCTCAATTTTTCTTAAACCTAAAGCAACTCTAAAGAAATAAAGTTTATTAATTAAAAGCATAAAAAAGCCTGTGCCCCAAGGGTATTAACATCTTTTGTATGGGGCCCTACACTAGCTTTCAAGGTTCTGGTCGAAACCAACAACTTACCAATATTAACTTTTCCACTCCGTGAGAACGGTACTCACTTCCCAATATTTAGATCTTTTAATTTTCTCTCAGAAAATATTTTGTAGGAAGAGTCAGCCAATTATAGCCCATAGGCCAAATTTGGCCCGAAGCCTATTTTCGTAATGTCAATGAGCTTAGAATGGTGTTAACATTTTTTAAGGTTTGTAAAAAAAAAAAAAAGAAAAGAAATAAAAACAGAGAAGAATATGTGACAGAGCATATGTAGTCTGCAAAGCCTGTAATATTTACTATCTGGCCCTTTACAAAAAGAATTTGCCAACTCTCGTTTTATAGTTTTAGATTTATAGATCTTGCAGAACATTTGCTAATTTATTCCTAAGTAATTTCTGAGTTTTTAAATACCATTATAGATAGTAGTTTTTAAATTTTATTTTTCAGTTGTTCGTTGGCATTATATAAAAAATACAATCGATTTTTATACATTGACCTTGTATGCTGGAACCTTGTTTAATGCACTCCTTGCTTCTGGTAGTTTCTTTATAGAGTCTTTAGTTTTTTCTACATACACAATCATGTTTTCTATGAATAAAGACAGTATTCTTCTAACTAAATAAATAATTGATTTTTTTTTCCCTTCAGGGGTTAATGGAAGAAAACAAGGTTCAAATTACTGTTTTAAACCCTAAGTCTGTCACCATGGGTCAGCTGTATGGGCAGTTTGATTTGGTGTCCCACGAGTGGTCCGATGGGATCCTCGCTGTCAGCTTTAGAGCATTTGCTTCTTCAGTGGTGAGTACTAATACTTTTCCATGAGTGTTTAGGAAGGCTATGATATTTCCTTCTGACTAGTTTCTGATTTTTTTCAGTTGTGTCAAACATTTATATTTATAATTCAAGATATTTATTTAAAACACATTACTGGATAGTCTGGCAGTGTTTCTGCGAGGAACATTGTTAGCATCTCCAAAGATGCCGGATGCTATTGTTAGCATCTCCAAAAATGCCAAAGATGGCAAGCCCCTTTGCTCTGGTGTGTACAGAAGAGAGGGCAGGAGAAGAAAGGACAGGGGAAGTATTTCTGCTTCTCTTTTTTCAGGCTAAATGATCCAGGAAGGAGAGCCTCTGAATAAAATGTGATCCTTTTGCTCCTTCAGTAATGTTCTTCCTTTGCCCACCCTTTGGGCTGCTGCCTCTGTCAGATATACTCCACCGGTGCTTAGAGAAGACATCGCAGACTTTTGCAAAACGATGTCTTAAAATTCCAACACTTTCCACCTAGTGTGTTAGGAAGAGGGGCTGCCTGTGGAAAGCAGAAGAGGTCGGGGATGTGCCAGCTGCTGACTGCTGTGAATGGGAGCGAGTACTCACCTCCTTCTGGCTTATTCTGCTTGTTATACTGAGTGGCTGCTGCTCACTCTTACAAAAAGCGTCCACAGACCAGTAGATGTTAACTTGGTTGCCGTGTGTTAGCAGGCTCTCCATAGAGTGTGGTCCTTCGGGAGACAGCTTGCTAAGGCTGCTCTTAAAGGAAAAGGGGCCAAGGTAGAGACATTGAATTTATTTATTAAATCTTTTTTTATTTTTATTTATTTTTTTGTGAGGAGGACTAGCCCTGAGCTAACATCCGATGCCAATCCTCCCCTTTTTTCTTGAGGAAGATTGGCCCTGGGCTAACATCCGTGCCCACCCTCCTCCACTTTATATGGAACGCTGCCACAGCATGGCTTAGCAAGCGGTGTGTCGGTGCGCGCCTGGGATCCGAACCTGCGAACCCCAGGCTGGCGCAGCAGAGCACACGCACTTAACTGCTGCACCACTGGGCTGGCCCCTATTAAATCTTTTTTTAAATAAATGTTTTCTTTATTCTGATTACTATACCTCCTAAGTTTGGTGCTCTTTACCCAATTAAGGACTCATCAGGACTCATGAGTCAGTGTAATAATAGAAAAGCATCAAATCTCAGCTCTGCTCTTAGTGGCTGAAGGACCTAGGGCCATGAGTCACATAAGGGTTGGCTCTCAAGGGGCAGAGATCCTGCCCAGTGTCAGGCTTTACTAGTCATTTCGAGGATATAAGTCATCACAAGGCACAGGGGAGGCAGAGAGAGGTCTGGGACCGTTCATGTAACTTCTCTGGTCCTCTCTTGCCACAGTGGATGCACTTTGGCCCAGATGAAGATATGAAGTCTCTAGAGAATGTATGCAGTTACATTATTTATACAGAAATAATCATGAGATATCTCCCACCTTATACTCAGTTACATAGCTTACGTTACATTTTCCAGGAAGCTATGCCCCATAAACACTGAGTCTCAGGGAGGTTAGGTAGCTGACCAAAGTCACACAGTGGGTAAGTAGTAGAGCCAAATTAAAAGGGAGGCCCTTCAGACTGCAAAGGCCAGCATCTTGCATTACATGGCAGTGTTTCCCAGAGAGAAGATGAACAGGCACAGGAAGCCAAATTCGCGAGGGAAAGTTGATCTCGAGGTGCTCTCCGAGGTGCGGGCTCTTCCTTGCTTCCTGAGCATGGCCAGAGCTGGCCTCTGGTTGTGAGTGTGGGGTGGCCTGAGCCCGTGACAGGCCCATGTCTCGTAGATTAATGCAGTTGGCCACAGGGACCAAGAATATGTTAAGATGGATTCAAATCTGTCACCACTTCAACTCAAATTTACGTTTGCTGAAGGTGAACCAAGGCATCATCGTGTGCACAAAAAGCTGATTCATAAGGATCTGGAAAGGAGACTCAGCTTTTGCACTCTCCCATTAATGCCTGGCCTCTCTTTAAATATTTGTCTCGATTTACTGTATTCCAGACAATGAGTAAATATTTTCAGATTTGTCATCATGTGACTGTGAATGTTACATAGATATTAATTGTTCTCTACCACCATGGGACAGTTCAGCCCAAGGGGTATGTGTGTGACATGTGAATTCACTCAGTAGGAGGAAGAACAATTTTGACTTAGCACACAAGAGTGATTGATCTGTATGAACACATACTCTACGGAGTCAGATTATCCAAATGAAAATTCTGTTATTTTTCTACTCAAATTACTTTCTAAAACATATGTGAGTTCAGAAACATTGGGAAAGATGGAATCTTAAGAAAAGATGTTATATTTCTGTCTTGTTCATGGCATATGTAGGCTTCTTTAGTGACAAGATATATATGTATATATACACACCTATATACACTTGTATGTATACATATATATACACTTTATTCAAAAGGTGCCTTTACATTTTCATGATGAAATTGATTTTAGGAGTTACATTTTTAAATTTTGAAATAATATTATTGAACAGTTTCCTTACATTATCATTATTACATTTTTGCCCTTTATTCACCATATGCATAAACCAGACGCCCGATAGGAAATGGTTGATTTTCGATGGACCGGTAGATGCAGTGTGGATTGAGAACATGAATACAGTGCTGGATGACAACAAAAAGCTGTGTCTGATGAGCGGGGAGATTATTCAGATGTCACCACAAATGAATCTTATTTTTGAACCAATGGATTTGGAAGTTGCTTCTCCCGCCACTGTAAGTTCTCCCTTTTGGCATCTGCTTATAAATTTGAAGTGTTATAAATGCTGTTATTACTTAGTAACTTTGTCTTTAAATGACAAGTATTAGTAGAATTCACTTTAAGAGCAACCTGTGATTCTCCAAGAGCAGACATATCTGTGGACATACTTGACAAATTTAAGAGTAGGGGTTTTCATCCTCTTTGTCTGGGACCATTTAGTATAAAATTAAGCTTTTTTTCCCAGGGTTTTCTGAAGGTTGTAAGAAACAGATGTACCAGTCATATTTCTTTTATAAGCGTTACCTTTGATGGTAAACAGTTCTTATTTTCCCAGGTTTCCAGATGTGGTATGATTTACATGGAGCCTCACATGTTAGGCTGGAGACCACTGATGCTGTCTTGGATAAATCTTTTACCTGCTGTGGTCAGTGTTATTCAGAAGGAATTTATAATAGGCTTATTTGACAGATTTGTCCCTGTTTCTGTTGAATTTATTAGAAAGCATACAAAGGTAAGAAGGATGGGAATTTTGAGATTAAAAAAAATGGAAAATCCAAATTACCTATATATATCAGTTTAATGTCTGTTTTTATTGTCAACTACCAGATATTAAAATAATTTCTTAACTGGTTAGACTAAAAACTTTTTTCTAATTAAAGTAAGATTTTAACTCATGTAGTTATTCTCCAAAAAACGTTCTCTTTTTTTTCTTCTTTTTTTTTATTGAGGTAACATTGGTTTATAACATTATGTAAATTTCAGGTGTACATCATTATATTTTGATTTATGGGTAGATTACTTCATGTTCACCACCCAAAGACAAATTACCATCCATCACCGTACACATGTGCTCAGTCACCCCTTTCCTCCTCCTCCCTCCCCACTTCCCTTCTGGTAACCACCAATCTAATCTCTGTAACCATGTGTTTGTTTGTTGTCCTTGTTGTTGTTTTCATCTTCTACTTATGAGTGAGATCATACGGTATTTGACTTTCTCTCTCTGACTTATTTCACTTAGCATAATACCCTCAAGGTCCATCCATGTGTCACGAATGGTAAGATTTCATCTTTTTTTTTTGTAGCTGAGTAGTATTCCATTGTGTATATAATCACATCTTCTTTATCCATTCGTCCTTTGATGGGTGCTTAGGTTGTTTCCAAGTCTTGCCTATTGTGAATAACACTGCAATGAACATTGGGGTGCATGTATCTTTATGCATTCATGTTTTCATGTTCTTTGGATAAATACCCAGCAGTGGAATAGCTGGATCATATGGTAGTCTATTCTTAATTTTTTGAGGACTCTCCATACTGTTTTCCAGAGTGGCTGCACCAGTTTGCATTCCCACCAGCAATGTGTGAGAGTTCCCTTCTCTCCACATCCTCTCCGACACTTGTTATTTCTTGTCTTCTTGATTGATTATAGCCATTCTGATGTGCATGAGGTGATATCTCATTGTAGTTTTGATTTGCATTTCCCTAATAATTAGTGATGTTGACCATCTTTTCGTGTGTCTGTTGGCCATCTGTATATCTTCTTTGGAAAAATGTCTGTTCAGATCTTTTGCCCATTTTTTAATTGGGTTGTTTGTATTTTTATTGTTGAGATGTATGAGTTCTTTATATATTTTGGATATTAACCCCTTATTAGATATATGGTTTGCAAATATCTTCTCCCAATTGTAAGGTTGTCTTTTTGTTTTGTTGATGGTTTCCTTTGCTGTGCAGAAGCTTTTTAGCTTGATGTAGTCCCATTTGTTTATTTTTTCTATTGTTTCCCTTGCCTAGTCAGACATGGTATTTGAAAATATGCTGCTAAGACCGATGTTGAAGAGCATACTACCTATGTTTTCTTAGAAGTTTTATGGTTTCGGGTCCTACATTTGAGTCTTTAATCCATTTTGAGTTAATTTTAGTGTATAATGTAAGATAATGGTCTACTTTCATTTTTTAGCATGTGGCTGTACAGTTTTCCCAACACCGTTTATTAAAGACACTTTCACTTCTCCATTGTATGTTCTTGGTTCCCTTGTCAAAGATTAGCATCTATGGACATAGATGTGTGGGTTTATTTCTGGGCTCTCAATTCTGTTCCATTGATCTCTGTGTCAGTTTTTGTGCCAGTACCATGCTGTTTTGATTACTGTAGCTTTGTAGTATACTTTGAAATCAGGGAATGTGATGCCTCCAGCTTTGTTCTTTTTTCTCAGGATTGCTTTGGCTATTCGAGGTCTCCAAAAAATATTTTAAATAAAGCATCTTAGAACTTGAAAACACCAATTTGTAAAGGTACATGCACCCCTGTGTTCATTGCAGCATTATTCACAATAGCCAAGACTTGGAAGCAACCTAAGTGCCCATCAAGGGACGAATGGATAAAGAAGATGTGGTATATATACACAATGGAATACTACTCAGCCATAAGAAACGATGAAATCCAGCCATTTGTGACAACATGGATGGACATTGAGGGTATAATGCAAAGTGAAATAAGTCAGAGGGAGAAGGTCAAATACCGTATGATTTCCTTCATTAGGTAGTAGATAATAACAACAATAAACAAACACATAGGGACAGAGATTGGATTGGTGGTTACCAGAGGGGAAGGGGGGAGGGAGGAGGGTGAAAGGGATAATTCGGTACATGTGTGTGGTGATGGGTTGTAATTAGTATTTTGGTGGTGAACATGATGTAATCTATGCAGAAATAGAAGTATAATGATGTACACCTGAAATTTTTACAATGTTGTAAACCAATGTTACTGCAATAAACAAAAAATTATAAAAACAAATAAATAAAAATAAAAAATAAATAAAGCATCTTAGGGTTTGAGAAAATGTATGGTTGCTAATCTTTTTGCTCTTAAACAAAAACAAAATCTCAAAGGCCCACCTAATCACATCTGGGTGAAAACCACATCTGGCTAAAATCTCTCATTTCTGATGGACTATTGGTTTTTTAATTAGTTTCCATTTTTATAATTTTCTTTATTTTTTAAAGTTCCTAAAATAAATATATATTATTTTATAATCAGAAAAAGGACAATTTTAAAAAGTAATCTTATTTATGGCATCTAAAGAACCAGATAGTGGGTGATAATGGAGGAAGGCAAATTACCACTTAGGCATTCTAAATGAGGGATCTACTACATTTAACATGAGTGCATCTGATTGTTTACGGGTTACTGTCCATAGCTAAACCAGTGGGATTTGGGGAAGGAAGTCAGTCCTTGGTGCCAGCATTGAGAGAGGTCCTAAAGTAGGCGAATCCACTTTTCTTTCTTTCAATACACCCTGGGGGTTGGGGAGGGGAAAGATTGAAGGGGAGAGAAGTGACATCTTGAATGACAATCTTCTGCCTCTGAGAGTTGATGGAGTTCTAGGGAGGCTCTTAAACCCTCTCTAGCTGGAAATTGTAGGGAAAGCATGCTTAATTTATGCTTTAGGAGATGTTGACCAAAGGTCTTTTAGGATGACTTTGGCTCTGGAACAAATATAGGGCCACAGGGCTGGTATTTTCCTGCTGTTGGAAATAGAATAGAAAAGCTTGAGGCAGAAGTTTGGCTCAAGGTACAGATCTAGAAAGTGGAGTTTAAAACCATGCTAATGGAGATTACCCAAGGGGAAAATCCAGAGGAAAAAAGAGAAGAGAGGAAAGGATAGAATCTTGGGTGCACCAGCAATTTCAGGAAGCAAGAGGGAAGCGAGGAGAACATTTTAAGAAGGAAATAGTTGGTATTATCAGAAACTACTAAGAGGTCAGGTCAAGGCAGCAAAGGATCGCCACACGTCCCCTGATTTGGCAAATGAGAAGATCCTGGGGGAATGTTGGCCCCAGCACTTTCAGGGGAGAGGCTGTGGCTCTTCAGGGCAGTTGGTTGAGGAATGTGGATACTGAGGCAACAGTGGGTGTGGACTGCTCTTTCAAGAAGCTTTGCTGGAATGGTAATATGTTGTAGGTATGAAGTCATCATGTTTCAAAAGTAGTTAAACGTGTATCAATTGAGGGTCATAATCAAATGTTACAGGTTTTGTTTTTTTTCTGACATTGTCATAGAATGTAGGCAGTACAAATAAATGAATTTTCTGTATAACTGGAACTATCCTTTCAAAAGCAAAACAGAAAAAAAAACCCACTTTTAGTGCAAACTTTCTAAAATGTACTGTACACTCTTGTCCTATCTTGAAGAAATCATAAGCGTTATTTACTATGTAGTGATAAGTTATCTGTCTTATTTGTAGTAATAACTCTTTGGATTTTAGTGTTGCATCAGTAGCACTTAGTCCCATCTTAGTCAGAAGCTCAGCTGTCATTTTTGCCTGCTTCTACTGGGATTGTGGCTGAATGTGGAGTCAGCCGCTTCTACTCTCCAGAGAGTCCATTTCAGATAGTTAGTTCTTATATGTTAACTGTGAAGCCATACAACTCTAAAGGATAGAGGGGAGCTTGGAGGGAAGAAGACAAATGTTTATTGAGACTTGCATATGCTGTATGCTTCTAGGAGCTGTACATGTTATTTCGTTATCTTATAAACTGCCATAGTGAGACCCAAAAAAGTAAAGTACACAACATTTATAGCACTCCAGTAACATTTTGTGCTCTTTAAGACTTGCAAATAGATTTCATAGGGATGAGTTTACTGTGAGTACTGCTATAGCTTATAGTGAAGTTCTAGAATGGGTTTTATTTATTACCATTTTAGATAAGCAAATTAATAGCCTTCTCTGAAAGATTTTTTTTAGTGTTTTGGATTGTAAAATTGATATAACATAGACTCTATGTCTTTGATTAAATTAAACATGTAACAGTACATTTTTTAAATTTGAGAATCAGTACAAGAGTGATTAAAAAGTGCACACTACCTGGATGTGACACCCACGGCCGCCACACTCTAGGCGAGGGAGTTAACGTGGCCTCAGCTTTCTTGTCTATAAAACCAGAATTATAATAGCAGTACCTTTTCATAGGTGCTGTGGCTGTTAGAATTAAATGAGTTCAATAAATATTAGTTGATGCTGTTTTAATTAGTGCCTGATTTAAATTAATTTGTTTTATAGACTTTTATTCTCTGATTTTTCAGGAATTATCTCCTACTTCAGATACAAACTTAGTCCGTTCTTTAATGAATCTAATAGACTGTTTTATGGATGATTTTGCTGATGAAATCAAAGTAAAAGAGAGAAATGATCGAGAAACATACTCTTTACTTGAGGTAAGGCTCCTCGCTCCTTCTATCTGCTGCTCTCCCCACTGCTTCCTAATCAATGAACCTCATTTTCCCCCTGGAATTGGAGGCTGGCCAATGGGTGGTAGCTGAACAGTGAAGAAAAAGTCACGTCCAAAATAACAAATGCTGTTAGGGAAGCTCCTCAACTGGCAGTTCTATTGCATCATGAGGTTTGAGTGGAGCCCAATAACCCCCTCAGATCTGCTACTGAAATCTTGGGTCATTTGACCAGCCTCAGAAATGATCAATCTCCAAAATGCCAATGACCATTTGACAACGAGAGTCACCTCACCTTCAACCTCCAAATCATAATCATTCATTAGTCTTCTTTCTTGATTTTCTTCCCTTTTTTCATGAGATATAAATGTTTAAAATATATATGTGTGTGCATATGTGTGTATAAATATATGTTTGGATTGAGGAAAGCAAGAAAATATATAATCAATAAACATGTTTTTAAAATAGGAATAAAATTATCAACAGACTTTGAATATTCTTTAATAAAAAATTACATATTGCTAATGGTAGCACTTCTAATGCAGTCAATATGTTACTTATTGCTTATATTTTGTGAAATAAATTAATTCTTAACTTAGTTTTAAATAGTCTCCAGAGAGAACCGGTCTGAAGTAACCTAGGAGTAGGTGAACAGTGTCAAAGTAGAGTCCACACTTTTCTGAGCATAGTTGAGACTGTGCTCAGAAAGAGGTTTCATTTTAAAACAAGCAAACAGGTTTTCTCATTTAGTGGTGGGTCTTGTCATCCACTCTGTTCCCTCTGCCTGAGTCTGGTAAGAAGAAGGCTTGCAGGATGGCAGTCTAGTTACACAATCAGTCCTCAGATAATTATTACAACAGACAAATAAAAGAACGTAACTTTCTTCTACTTTAAAAAAAACACTATATAAAAATTTAAATTTAAAACACGTATATTGTGGGTTGATTATTCCTTATTAAAATATGTCTTTGTACCTTAATAAAAAGTTATCTCAGTGTTCTTTTGAATATCAAGGTCCTGCCATAAACTTAAAATATCACATGATTTACTAGATTAATTATTCTAAGGTTTCACCATGGCTAGAATTCATACTTTGCATTGTATTATCTTCTCTGATAGTAAGATTTTATGCGACATGCAGTTCATTTAAAAAAACTAATTATTACAAAATCCTGAAATAACTTACTATTATATACCAGTTTATTAATTTCCTTTCAGAGATATTAATCTGGCTGATCTGTTTAAATTCAAGGATAGATTACAGTTGTGCTTTAATGCGCTCTATCTCCTCATCTCTCCGCTGCAGGGCATTTTTCTGTTTTCATTGATTTGGTCCGTCGGTGCTTCTTGTAACGATGATGATCGGTTGAAATTTAATAAGATTCTTCACGAACTAATGGAAGGTCCAATTTCAGAACTAACTCGAAATAGGTTTAAATTACTGAGTGGTACTGAGCAAACGTCTTCAAAAACACTAACTGTCCCATTTCCCGAAAAAGGAACAATTTATGATTATCAATTTGTCACTGAGGTAAGAGTTCTGAAGCAAGATTGCAACTGCCAACCTGGCAGAGATCCCCCCAAGACACACAGCACGTCACGGCTCTGCAGCCGCCTTGTCACCGCTGCGTACTTGTAGAGACAGCGTGAAGTAGAGGAAGGCACCCTGGTTTTCAAGTCAGACACACCTCGGAGGGAGTCCTAGTGGCACTTTTTTTCTTGATGGCGTTGCACTAGTTATTTAGTCTCCCTAAACCTTGTTTTTCTCAGTGATAAAATGAGATAATAATAACCTGATGGGCCGAATGTACTCATTAAATACAATTACACATGATGACGTCCAGTCCAGCGCTGGGCTATACTGTTCAAGGACACCTCTTGGAGGTTCTTGGTGCACGTTAGCCCATCACAGGGGCTCAGAGGTCCTGCAGGACTGCGGCTGGGTCAGTGTTAATGCAGCACTTCCCAAACAGATTGGACAGTAAAACCTGGGTGGTGTGTGTTTGTTTGTTTTCGTGTAACAGCTCCCATAAGTACTGCATTGAGGACAAAGTTTGGGAACACATTTTATTTAAATATGTACAGATTCAAATGAAATTGGGATCACACCATATCTCCAATGGATAGTTTTATATCCTTCTTTTCCCCTTAATAAAGAGAATACCTTCCTATCTCACTAATGTTTCCTTAATAAACTTATTTTTCTAAAGCTTCCCTATATTCTACCATCTGGATGGACCATGACCTGTTCAAACAGTTTCCTACTTTTGGACATTGAACTGTTTTCTTGTTTCTTAGTTTCTCTGCTTTGGTGAATATTCTTGTACACAAGTCATTGTGTACATATCTGATTATTTCTTTAAGACAAGTTCCTAGAAAAGGAATTACTATATGTTTTTAAATTTTTATGCTCTTGAGATGTATTGCCAAGCTCGCCTCAGAAGAGATTCTTCACCCTGCCAACCGCAAGATATTATCTTTTTATCTTTACTAATTTAATTTGATTTCAAATTACTAACAATACCCTGCATTTTCAGAGCACTTTGCAATTTTTTAAGCTTTTTCACAATCATTTGTGTTTTGTTTCCCAACATCTCAGTGAAATAGGAAAGAAGATTATTTTGCAAATTTTACCATTGAGGGAACTGGGGCTCAGAGATATTACATGATTTTCCTAGGATCACACAGTCTCTAAATGACTGTCCATTTCAGGTTTTCTGATTCTTAATTTTTCCTTCCTCATATGGTGGCAAAAGATCCACGTTAGAAAAGATTATCAAGAATTTGAAAGGGCATTATTTCATCATCAGTTCTAGGAAAGTTCTAGAAATTTCTTTGCAATACAATTTTTCCAGACTGATGTGAATTCAGCCTTCTCAAAAAAATCTCTACGAGAGGGTACAAAAGTGAATAAACCACAGAGCTGACCTCAATGAGTTCCTAACCTCTTCAGAAGAATGTCACGTAACACTCTAGGCCAAAAGAGTGCCACGTGTCAAGGCCCAGGGACCCAGGGCATGTTTGGAACCAGAAAGTCCATCAGTGAGGCTGGGTTGTGGGACACATGAAGATGTGAAGGAAGATGAGTCTGAATTCTGATGTGCTTTGAATGACCAGCAACATGAATTTGATTCTGTTAGAATGGAGAGGGCAGTGGTGTTTTCCTAAAGAGAGTTAACGTGGTATTTTTGAAATTTTTTGTTATAAACACTGTCATAGGATTTAAAATTTTAGTTCACAAACTAATTGGATGCAAAGGTATAGTATAATCTCAATTTATAATAATAATCTCGTATTAGCAAATCTTGTCTGTTCTAGGTATCTGTTGCACAACAATGTGAATATAGTTAACACTACTGAATTGTACGCTTAAAAATAGTTGAAGGTAAATTTTAGATATTTTGTGCCACAATTAAAAAAAAAAGAAATCTTGCCTGAAATGATAAGCTGATGTTATAAATACCATTATCAAAGTCAAGCAATATACAGCTGATCTTCCAGGTGGAAAAAATTTCTATATTGAATAACATTTATTGAATAAAATTCTTTACTCTCTAACACATTAATTAGTCTAATTTTATCAACGCCATTAAAGAATCTAACATTTGGCCAAAATAACTAATCTTTGGGTTGACTTAATCAGTGGTTTCAGGGCATCAAAAATACCACAGCATTGCCATTTCATTTTCATTCATATAAAAGCCTAGTTTCCCTTAATTTAACACAAAATTTAACTTTCAAATTCAGGGTGAAGTGTTTTAAAGGTTAAAAACAAATGTATAAATATCAAGGTTTTGATCTTTATTTTTTTTTTCTACAATGGCATGGAAATGCAGAACTTTTAAAAGTATTTTATAACATAACATTCACTATTTGGCTGTTTATTATAAACAGGGAATAGGAAAATGGGAACCATGGGTAAAGAAACTGGCAGAAGCTCCTTCAATTCCTAAGGATATGATGTTTAATGAAATCATTGTACCAACTCTGGACACAATTCGATACTCTGCATTAATGGAATTGTTGACCACCCATCAAAAGCCTTCAATATTTGTAGGACCAACAGGAACTGGAAAGAGTGTTTATATTATTGTAAGTACTGTAGAAATATACATATTAAAACGTGCATAATATTTCTAAGAATGTTATTTTTAAACTATCTGAAATAGTGGACTTAATATTTTTTAAATACTCAAGTATTTTGATGTTGGAGCCACTGAGAATTTTTGAGTAACTATTTATTTTAGAAAATTGATTAAAGACATGATGCCATTTTATATCACTAAATTATTATCCCATGTTCTTAGGTATTTTAATAAAAATAGCTTGTCCAAGGGGCTGGCCCCATGGCGTAGTGGTTAAATTTGGAGCGCTCTGCTTTGGCGGCCCAGGTTCCCAGGTTCGGATCCCAGTGCAGACCTATACCACTCATCAGCCATGCTGTGGCAGCGACCCACATATAAAATGGAGGAAGACTGGCACAGATGTTAGCTCAGGGCAAATCTTCCTCAAGCAAAAAAGAGGAAAATTGGCAACAGATGTGAGCTCAGGGTGAATCTTCCTCACCAAAAAAAAAAAAAGCTTGTCGAGGATGAAGAATTTCATATGCCTTGAAAATGGTGTTTTAGTTAATTACAATTGATATTTATTTTTCTAAAGTATTTAATATCTAAACAATTACTATGTAGTAATAAGACTGATTTCTCTTGATTTCTAGAATCATACCCATTGTGTGTTAGTTAAGAAAACGCTAGCTGGTGTAACAGATAATTTCCCAAATCTCAGTGGCTTTAGACGGCCTGTGTTCCCTTGAGTTTAGGAGGATAAATTGATCAAACACCAGTTCTTGCCTCTAGTTTCTGGTTTCTAAAGGCAAAAAGCTGGCTGGAACTAACAGTAAATAGCATCCCCAGCCTTTGGCATGGCAAGTAAGTGCAAGTTTCCCCCAGGGTCAATTGGACAATGTGGAAGATAAGTGGACTTCAGCCTTCTTGGGACTCCATTCCAGATGACTGCCCACTGCAGTGAGTGAACCCCATTAGTTCCCTAATGTCAGGGAACTGTGCAGTGTGGCTGTCTCTTTGGAGTATCTAAAGAACCTGCACATCTGCTCTCAGACAACAAGCATTTGGAAGCTTGCCATGACAGCGGGCAAGACAGCATTAGCCAAGAGAGAAGCACAGTGACACCAGTGAAGCTGCACTTTTGCCTGTCTTCCTCTAGCTCTGCCCCTACCCAACTGTGGGAGAGGAAGAAGACAGGGGAGTCAGGTGGAGGAGAGGGAAGGAGCCATCAGTGGTCCCTCCCCCATTGCAAGTTCTCAGTCAATTCACATTCCCCCAGTTTATGACAGTACCTGTTTCCAGTTCTTTATTGATTTCATATTTTAATTTAATCCTTTAATCCTTTTGAATATATTTGGGTGTATAGTTAAATAATTGTCCTGGTATCATTTATTAAATAATCTCTTTCACAGTAGATTGAAATGACACCTCTATTGTAAACTAAATGCTGTCTGTATCAGGGAATAACCAAGAGCAGGGAAGAGAGAAGTTTAGATTGAGATTTTAAATCGAGATGTTGATTTGGCCTAGATTTTAGAAAAATAACTGGAACTGTACAGTAAGATAAAAGATTTGCCCAAGATATCATCAAGAGTCAGGGAATGGAGACTTAACATGGTTAAGACAGTGGTTGGAGAAAAATTAAGCCTTTTGTCTTTTATGCCTCCATCAAATTCACCCCAGGTAGTTAACTGCCCAGGCCAAAAGAAAAAAAATTTACTTTTCACAAATTTGGGAATATACTTTGCATCTTATTTTGTAATCTACTTCTTTCTACTTAATATATTGTAAATATTTTCCTATTTCATTATTCTTCTACAAGACGATTTCTGGAACACAACATCTCGAGTGAGAATCATTGTAATTGTACCTGCTTTTCAGTGAGTTCTATTTTAAAAATACAATTATATGATTTAAGCTTCCTAACTTACAGTCGGATAACTTAGTATTTAAGTGGAAAAATAATAAGCTGTGTTAAAAAGAATATTGATCTGGAGAGAGACAAATGGCAGTCTGAATTCTTGCCCCACCCCTGAGACATAAACAAGTTTCTTAATTTCTGAGTCCCTGTGACTTCATATTAAGAAGGAATGTGTGCTCTGCATGTTGGTTTTGGAAATCAGAGAAGCCAATGCTTGGAATCTGGACAAATAGAGACACTCCATTGATATGGTAACTGTTATTTCTATTGATTCCATCTCTTTTTACCTTGTTATGACACACCAATATTAAATTCAAGTGTGTCGACAATGATGCTTAGTGTTTATTCTGAAATGTCAAAACGTAATTCCAGCTGTGGCTCATTTTATTATTTCCTTTTATATAGAATTTTCTTTTAAATCAACTCAATAAAGAAATCTACAAGCCTCTGCTAATTAACTTCTCAGCACAAACTACAGCAGCTCAAACTCAGAATATTATCATGTCAAAACTGGACAAAAGAAGAAAGGGAGTTTTTGGTCCTCCTTTGGGCAAAAGAATGGTAATTGCTCTCTGTTTCTATATGTATAGAACAGCACTGGTCCTATTCATGTACACGGCTACAATCAGAACAAGGAAACCAGGTAGACTGGGGCTTGACATCTTTTTGTATGTTTGTTTTTTAATCACAAATTTTGATTAAGAAGTTTTGCTAAAAGTGTGTTCACATTTGTATGTGCATTAGACAACTTGACATTAAAAACAAGCAGTTGCCCTTTGAATTAAAAGTAGAATATTCATCTGGGAAATTATCTACCTTCCTAATTCTCTCATTAACATTTTTACTCAGCAGAGTCTTTGCTGCTTGCTCTTCTAGGCCTTTAAACAACCTAGCTATCCATTGACTTATCTGTGTTCCCCTGCCAAGAACACCCTTCTCAACCTTGTTCTCACCACTCAGAGGTTATAATCATTTTTAAACAGACCTTTCTTATTTATTTTAATGTACTGAAGTTGTATAAGGAAAAAAAGAGAAGGTATATTGAGAAACAAATTGTCTGAGAGGATTGATAAGTCCGAAACTCTTAACCAATAAAGGTCAGTAATGAGACTGTCTCTCTATTCCTTAGATGCATGGGTGCTAAGGGATATTATTCTTGATTTGAAAAGAAACCATCACTTCTCACATCTGTCCACAAGAAGTCTAATTCTTTGCCTCAGCATTGTTTACACACTAGGACAGACACAATAGTAAGATGTTAACGTTTTCTAATACCTCCTCTTTTTTCATTCTAGGTTGTCTTTGTAGATGATGTCAATATGCCCGCTCGGGAGGTGTATGGGGCTCAACCTCCCATCGAGTTACTTAGACAGTGGTTAGATCACTGGAATTGGTATGACCTGAAAGATTGTTCTGTGATTAAACTAGTGGACATTCAAATCATGTGTGCTATGGGACCTCCAGGTACATTTTCTGAGTTTGTGATTATTAAGATTGAAAGTCACTCTGGTCATATCTAAAGAGATAGCTGGAGAAAGAAAGAGAAACCCAACTGGACAATTTGAGTTACAATGTTTTGTGTATGTGTGTATTTTCTATGTATATACATTGTGACCTAAGGGTGTGTACCCTGATGGTCAGCACTACAGAGTGGGTTGCCTTGGTTGGGGCCATTCTCCCACCAACTCTTCCAAATCCTTTTTCTCCCACCTTCTGTGACTTTGCTCCCCATTTCCTGTCTTTACATTCCAAGAACCCAGATCCCCCTGGGGCATTTCATTTCCCTCTGTTTCATTCCTTTAAGTTTCACCTGTATGAAACATCCCTGCTTCAGAAATCACTTTTCTTCTCCCCCAAGTTAAGTCCCATTCCAGTGAGTCTCTGGATTTAGACAGGCTGTTGAGAGGAATTTAAGTAGGAAATGGCCAAAAGAATTAACTCTTGAAGATCTTTTACATTTTCCAAGAGAAATTTATAAACTCAAAGGAAGCTCTATGTAGGGAAATTTTTTATGCCGGAATATCTAAAATGGCTTGATTCAACTAACTGGACGTCTTTAACGTTCTTCTCCTAAACTCAAGCTGCTATTCTACTTTTTAAAAAAATTCCTTTTCTCGATGCACCATTTCTTCAGGGAATCTCTCCAATATTTGCCTCCAAACCCCCTGACCTTTATCTGACCTCTAGTGCAGCAGTTACTCTAAATCAGTAACTGCTCTCAGCACACTCCCTGGGCCACTTCGAATGCTTTTTTTCTTTCTTTTTAAATAAGACACTCCTGCTCCTGGGTCTCGGACTTCAGCTCTACTTTGCCTCTCCCCGACCCCAAGCCAGTCATTTATACTACGTGTCCCTTTTTCCCTTCCTCTTCAGAAGGGTAGAGGTATCTTTTCCTCTTGGACCCCATTTTCTAAAAATAATCAGCATTTCTGGATGTTATCTGGGAGGAAGGTTGAAGACAGAGCTGGGGGATATGATCTCTCACTATTCCTTCTGAAACCCTTCCACCATTTCCTTAAACTTGCCCAGGTAGACCAGTGTTCATTATAAGCTTCTAAATACATAGACATACATAACTATCTTGATCTATAGATTCGTTGCTGCCAGTTACATGCTTTCACACATTATTCATGTTTTCAAAATTAGTGCTGGATAATCCAGCAAAATACAGATTTATCTGGCTTTAAAGAAACATAAAACATGAACCTATATATTTTTATGCAAAATATTTATTAGAGATATTATGCACTTTTAAAATCACTTCTTTAACAAAGATTTCATGATAGAATCCCTTAAAAAGCAAATACAATTTGTTTTTAAAAATGCAATACATTTAAAGATGATAATATCAATTTTGTAAAGTGATGTGTTACATGCTAAGTCAGTTATTAAAGCCTCATCTTTGGAAATGTAATCATTATTTTATGAAAATGGTATAATCTCCAAATTTTTAAATGGAAGTAGCCAGTGAGGTGGCCACATGAGCTACATAGACTAGTCTTAGGGAAATTAATTTCAAGATGTGGGGGAGGAATCAGGCTATATGCCAAGGCCGTGCTGAATTTCAGCCATGTGGGAGGAACCCTAAAGTTTGGTCACTCAGGTACACCAGAGTTACCTTAATATTGTATAATATTATATCTTAATATTGTATTGGAATGAGGATGTTTACGGTTTACTGCTTTGGGCTATGAGTCATGGAGAACATGGCCAATGGCTCTTTCTGTTTGGTCTCATTTCCTTAGGTAACATACACCTGACCCAAGATGATATCTAATTAGTTGAACTCACTAAGATAATTCAACTAGAAAAACAACACCTTGACTTTGAGGGGAAAACTGTTTTGAGGTCAGGGTTATCCAAACAATTGATTACTCTTAACTTTGTGTGGCATGAATGTGTCCATCTTTCAAGTTGTTTTATGCTGTAAAATATTAGAGAAAATACTCTGGTATATACTAGTAACATTGTTAAGAGTTACTCTTTTTAATATTTAGGTGGTGGTCGAAATCCAGTAACTCCTCGATACATGCGACATTTCAATATTATAACAATCAATGAGTTTAGTGATAAATCCATGTTTACAATCTTCTCTAGGATCTTAACCTGGCATTTAAAAATCTGGTAAGTAATTTAAGATGTGTGTGTTTTTTCATGAGAGTGTGTATAAAATCTTTTAAAATGTATCAGTGTAAGTAGTGCTTCTCAAACATTTCCACAAAAGCATCCCTAGGTAAGGAAAAAGGTAACAGGTAACATTGCTCCCCTCCGCTGCTCCCATCACTATAATACAAAGGGGCCAGATATCTTTCTCTTTTTCCTTTTTTTGTCTGAAGTCTTGGATTTTTGCCTAAAAATCTATACAAATTTTGCATTTTTTTGTGTAATATGTCCATGCTGGAGTTATCAATATTTTGAATTTTCACCACGTAGTGCAATTAATGCTAGAAAGATATGCCAGGGTTATCCTGTGATTTTGATACCAGTAGTAGAACTCTTGAGTTCCCTGGGGGTGTCCATGTCCAGGTTTGAGTGTAGCCTTGGAGCCTGTACCCTGGGCAAGTGTTGCTCCCTAGCTCTGGAAACTCAGTGCTTCTCTACAAGATGCACAGAGGTCAGGGAGCCAAGTGGACCTGGGCGGTGCAAGTCTCGGCTCCCTGCTGTTCATTCTCAGGAAACTGTCATTCTTTGCCCTTGCCATGATGATGAAGGAGGACAGCGGGCTCCTCGCCAAGCCAGAAGTTCAAGATAGCCAGTTTTTCCAAATGGATGTTCTCTCTCTAGTTCTTTCTACCCTAGTCATGCCCTCTGCCCTTTTTTATCTTGGCTTACTATTTATTTCACTTTCTATTTAACTCTCCTTTTTCTCTTTTCCTTATTTTTTCTATATTTGTATTTTCTTTCTTCCCTTTCTCTGAGAATACCCATTTCACCAGTGTTCTTCAGGGATTCTATCTATGTACAGTTGAGAATGCTGGGAGTGAAAGAGGTTAGGATGCATTTGTCCAGTGGGTGCTGAATTTGAGTTACACAATCTGGGCTGCTTGGCTGCCTCTTCTCTTCACTCATTTAAGTAGTTTTAAGTTCATTAAATTGGTCCTGCTTACTCATGGAGTTCCTTTGAACAGAAAATAAAATAATGAATGGACAGTAGCTTTAAAAGAAGTAAAAATTCTATTATAATAATAAGAAATGATAATTCTTTAAACTAAATCAATTGTCTTAGCCAGAATAAAAATTTTATACTAATCATGCTAAATATTATTTATGTATTATAATTCTATATTTGCTAACATTTTTCTTTCTTTTTGTTTAAAAAAATTTTAAGTTATAAATTTCCAGGTGATTTTCTAGATTTGACCACACAAATTGTAAATGGTACAATGACTCTGTATAAAGAAGCAATGAAGAATCTCTTGCCTACTCCAGCCAAATCTCACTACTTGTTCAACCTCCGAGATTTCTCCCGTGTCATTCAGGGTGTTTGTTTGTCGCGACCGGAAACAGCAGAAACCAAAGAAGTGATTAAACGTCTTTGGGTTCATGAGGTAGATTTCTGTGTTATTGAAATATGATTATGCAATAAATAAGGATTTTACCATGCTAACAACTGGTAAAAAGAAATATTTGACAGCTTATATTGTTAAAATGCATTCAGCTGTTTGGCATTATGAAGGCCAATGATCAAGATAATTTTTAAAAATATTTAATACCAATATATTTTAGGATGTTTAAAATGCTTTATCTCCCACTTTTAGGAATTTCTGTTGATTTATAGGATATTTCGAAATAGGTATCACTTTGGGTCAGTCTTCTTTAAGTGACTTAGAATTAGGCAACTAATATTGGAAAGTGGGAATAAAAATGTTCTTCCATTTTTAATATATAAAGAATATAGTTATTTTAATTTTAATAAGGTAGTTAAGAAATCTAGAAAATGGGAATGCGCTGTTATGTTAAAACCATGTCCTACAGAGACATAAATTTCAAAAGGGCTTTTAAAAATTCCACTTCTGTAGGCTTTTTAGATCTACAATTTGAATTCCTAAATCCTCACACATTCAAATATATGTCTAAGTGAAGGTACATTCCACCCGGAAATTTTGCCCACGGCAAGGTCCCTAAAAATGATTCTTTGGAAAAGTATGGTCTGCAGATTCTTAGTGCACTCCACTGTAGGTCACTTAATTGCCTGAGTGGGATCCATATTCTGGGGCATGGACACGGGCTGTAGTCTGTAGGTAACATGGGTAATAGAAATATGCTGAATGGTGGACAGGGAGAGAGGCCAGAGGGGGAGATGTCATTGACTTCACTGAAGGAGTGCATTGTCCAAGGCAGCATTTTGTGAGGGGCCAAATCTTACTCTAGGAAGCATCTAGCATCCTCCACCTCAGGATCTTCTCCCTTGATTTCCTTCTGCCTGGAACACTCTTCCCCTCATTATCCACAGGGCTTGCCCACTTATCTCCTTCAGGTCTCTGCTTAAATATCTCCTTTCCACAGAGGCTGGCCTTGGGCCATCCCTACCCCCATAGCTCTTTATCTCCTATCTCACTTAATTCTTCATAACACTGAATGTGTCTTGACACTGGCTATATTTTTGCTTCCTTATTGTCTCTACTTGAATAGAGGCTTTATGAGAGCAGCAATTTTATTTATTCACTGCTTTCCCCAGTGCTTGACACATAGCAAGGGCTCGATCAGTATTGTTGAATGAGTGCATAGAGGGAGAAGGAAGACAGTCTTATTATGCGTAACATGCTCCATCCCTTGGGATTATACATGCCATTGCTTTCTTCCAATTGTGGGAGTAGTTCATATGTGCCATTGAATATCTGTGGTATTTATAGTTATTTTTTAGCATTTTTCAGATCCTTGGATGTAAGATTATTGAGTTTGACAATGGCTGTTGAGCTTTTTGGGCACTTAATGAGGTTCATAATATAATAACTTGTAATTTTTAGTGACTACTTCATATTCATATAATGTAATGAATTTAAGTCTTCAGCTCAAAACTTTGCAATAGCGCTCTACTTCATTGGGAGGAATTCAGAATAAAGTCCAGTGGCCCATAAGACCTTCTATGTGCACCTCTTCCCTGGTTCCCCTCAGGCTGCATCCTGCTTTCCCCCTTCTTCACCCTTCACCAGCAACACAGGCCTCCGGGCTGTTCTCTCTGCCTGGAATGCTCTTCCCCCAGATATTGATCCTCTGGGCTAGGTTCCTACTGCCTTTGATTGAATCTCTCCTTCTTGATGAGGCCCACACTGACCACCCCATAGAATACTACAGCCTCATACCCCGCTAGCAGTTCCAGTCTTTCTTGACTTGCTCTGTTTTTCTTCTTTCCATAGCACTGATCAACTTCTAACATGCCATGAAGTCATTTCTTATGTTTATCGTCCATCTCCCTCAGACAGCATGCAAGCTCCATGAGGGCAGAGATTTCTCTTTTTTCCCACTGATGATCCACAGTGCCAAGAACAGTGCTAGACACATTGTTCTCAACATTTCAAAAAATATGAAGTGATTGAACTCAACACTCTCATCTGTGCTTTATTTCTGTTCAGTCAAAAAAAATTTCCTGAGGGCCTAATAAACGTCAGACACTACTTTAGGTCTTTTTCCTTTCCAGACACTTTTGCAAAACTAGAAGTCCTAATATAATTTTACTAAATGGTTTTCAAGGTATAAAACTGGCTTACTATTTTGCATTCCCTTTGGCTTCTCCATGGTGTTCCAGTGCTAGTGCACATAACATCTGATTGGCTTGTTAAATATAGATATTCTGCATAAGCAATCCAGGAAAAATATATATAAATTTGATTTCATCAAAGTTAAAAATTTTCATGCTTTGAAGGACACTATCTAGAAAGTGAAAAGACAACCCATAGAATGGGAGAAAATACTTGCAAATCATGTATCTAATGAATGTCTCCTATCCAGAATACATAAAGAACTATTACAACTCAACAGTAAAAGACAAATAACCCAACATAAAAGTAGGCAAAGGATTTGAACAGACATTTCTCCAAATATGCAAATGGCCAATAAACACATGAAAAGATGTTCAACATCATTATTCATTAGGGAAATCAAAACTGCAGTGAAGTACCCCTCACATCCACTAGGACGGCTATACTCAAAAAGACAGATAATAACACCTGTTGGTGAGGATGGTGGACGAATTGGAACCCTCATAGTTGCTTGAGGGAATGTAATATGGTGCAGCCACTTTGGAAAACAGTTTGGTACTTCCTCAGAATGTTAAACAATATGACCCAGCAATTCCACTCCTGGCTATATACCCAGGAGAACTGAAATATATATATGTACAATGGGATTTTATTCATCTCTAAAAAGAAATACTGATACATGCTACAACGTGGATGAACCTAGAAAATATTATGCTAAGTGAAAGAAGCCAGACACAAAAGGCCACATATTATATGATTCCATTTATATGAAATGTCCAGAATAAGCAAATCCAAAGAGAGAGAAAGTAGATTAATGGTTGCCATGGGCTGTGCTGGTGGGGGTGGGGGTGAATAATAATGAGTGACTGCTAATGGGTACAAAGTTTCTTTTTGGGGTGATGAAAAAGTTCTAAAATTAGGTAGTGGTGTTGGTTACACAACTTCGTGAATATTCTGAAAACCATTGAATTATATTCTTTAAAAGAGTGAATTTTATGATACTTGAATTATATATCAGTTAAAACAATCTGTAATCAAGGTTTGAGGTAAATCAATTTAAAGCACAAATACAATATAAATATGCCAGAAATTACCTCCCTTGCAATAACTTAGATTTGTAATAAAAAATTTTACATGTCAGCTTTTAAAAACGTAAGAGGTGGTGATAGAATAATAGCTCCTTGTGGGGGAGGGAGGAGGACAGATATCACCAGAAGGGAGAATGGGGGAGCCCACCAAGGTGCTGGAAACGTTCTAGGTCTTGATCTTGGTGATAGTTACATGGCTGTATAAATGTTTAAAAATTCTTGGAACTGTACACTTAAGAATTTTGTACCTTATATAAGGAAATGAAAAAAGAAAAAAAAAGGATAGTCTCAGGCACCATCCTCAAATGTATTAAGTCAGCAAATCTGGAGTGGGGCCCTGGAATCTGCATTTTAGCAAGTACCTCAGATGATTCAGTGCAGGTATGTTGATGATCTTTGAGGAAACACTTCTTAGGTTCTTGCTAAATTGCCAGCTAGATAATAATATACTTGATGCATGCTTAGGCCCTGATGCCTGACATGTGAGGTTGGCTTAATTTAGTTTCTTCCTCTCATAGGAATATTGTATGACATCTTCAGTACCTCAACCCAAGGAGGTGGCTATTGGCATACGTTGGGAAACTACATAGTCCCATAGAGAAATAGCTTTTGAACTGGTTGGAGTAGGGGGAAGGCTTAAATCATACCATTTGCCTGTACAGCCACCATTACTAGAAAAAAGGATGACACTATTATATCATCAACTTGACAACAATGAAAACACTACAATCATCATTCTTGAACACCGTTAGGCTGATTCCAAGGCAGGATGTAATAATTATATTTATCAATTCTATAGTGTTTTCACATATGTTGTCATTCTATTTTTGCTGTACATCTGTGAGATTTATAAGGTATGTATTACTACTTCCATTTTATAGGTAAAGAAGCTGATGCAGACAGATTTAAGTAACTTGCCCAAAATAGCATAGCAGAGTCAGGACTCAAAGTTAGAAGTTTTCCTGACAAATATGTACATTGCTTCTGTCATATGTGTGTTACTCTGCTAGTGCTGCCGTAACAAAATACCACAGACTGAGTGGCTTGAACAACAGAAATTTTCTCACAGTTCTGGAGTCCAGAAATCTAAGATCAAGTGCCGTCAGTGTTGGTTTCTGGTGAAGGCTCTCTGCCTGGCTTACAGATGGCTGCCTTCTCACTGTGTCCTCACATGGCTCTTCCTCTGTGTGCCTGCAGGGAGCGAGAGCGAGAGCTCTGGTGTCTCTTCCTCTTCCTGTAAGGGCACCAGTCCTGTTGGGTTTGGACCCCAACCTTATGCCCTCGTTTAACCTTAATTACCTCCTTAAAGGACCTCTCTCCAAATACAGTCACATTGGGGGTTAGGGCTGCAACATATGAATTTTGGGGGGATACGATTCAGTCCAAAACAGATTGTAACCAAGGGACACTCGTACCACTGTGAGGAATAGTTAATTTATGTAGCAAGCCTGATTAACTGTTTCTTGCAGCCATAACATGTGCCTATGACCAGAGATTTATTTTAGTAGATTGCTCTCTGCAATGACTTACAACAAAAATAATTATCAAATGTCCAAAACAAACTTGCCCTCCACCTAAGACATTCTCTCTTTTTCTAGAAAATGTGCTTTTTTAAGGAAAATAATATCTATTGATTTGTCAATAATTTATAAAATGTTATCTGGCTTGGAAAAAGGAAAGATCAGTGCAAGGGAGTCGGAAACCCCTAGATACCAGTGCCCAGCTCTGTTATCCATAGCTGAGTGACCCGCAGGGGCCGTTGCTCACCTTCTCTAGTCCTTTTCTTTCTTTCTGTAGTCCTTAATACTCTTTGCATCTCTAGTCTGCTTCAGTCCCTGCAAATTGCCTCTATTTATTGATAACAATGTAGCTGTGTATTATTCCAAATATATATGATCAAAATTAATATTTAAAATAAACATTATTATGAGTCAGTCATGATTGTTTGGATAATAGTGCTTTTAAGAAAACCCACAGAAATTTTCTGGGAGTACTTTTTATATTACTTGAGATTAGCACGGAAATAAAACTAAAAAAAATAGAAGAATCAGTTCCTAAAGCTGCTTTTTAATTATTATATAGGTCCTTAGAGTGTATTATGATCGCCTTCTGGATAATGCAGACCGAAGTTGGCTTATCAACTACATTCAAGAAATTTTGAAAAAATATATGGATGAAAATTTTCATGAGCTTTTTCAAAGCTTGGATTTTAATAATGACGGAGTGGTGGAAGAAGACGACTTACGCAGCTTAATGTTTTGTGATTTCCATGATCCCAAGAGGGAGGATACCAACTACAGAGAAGTTGCAGACGTGGATAATCTTCGAGTGATAGTGGAAGCTCACCTAGAAGAATACAACAACATGAGCAAAAAAACCATGAACCTCGTCTTATTCCGATTTGCCATAGAACACATCAGCAGAATTTCCAGGATCCTGAAGCAGCCTCGCAGCCATGCTCTCCTGGTTGGCGTTGGGGGGAGTGGAAGGCAGTCTGTCACCAGATTAGCTGCCCACATGGCTGATTATTCAGTTTTCCAGGTTGAAATCTCCAAGGGCTATGGTAACTCTGAGTGGCATGAAGATTTGAAAGTGATCTTAAGGAAATGTGCTGAAGGTGAGATGCAGGGTGTCTTCCTGTTTACAGATACTCAGATCAAAAGGGAGTCATTTCTAGAAGATGTCAACAATCTGCTAAACGCTGGGGAGATTCCAAATCTCTTTGCATTAGATGAGAAGCAGGAAATATGTGAAAAGATGCGTCAGTTAGATCGCCAGCGGGATAAAACCAAACAGACAGACGGAAGCCCCATAGCTCTTTTCAACATGTTTATCGATCGCTGCCGCAACCAACTGCATGTCGTCCTCGCCATGAGTCCCATTGGAGACGCATTTCGGATTCGACTTAGAAAGTTCCCTGCTCTTGTTAACTGCTGTACCATCGACTGGTTTCAGGTATCGCCATGTGAATTTTAGATAGACTTCTAGAAATGTTGAATTATCGTGACTTATTTTATAGACTTCCCCCAAAAAATGTAGTTTAGCAGAATTTTCTGATCAATAACAAGGTATTTTATGAAATTATAATTCAAGAAATCATCATAATAGAAAAATATTTTATTTCTAGTGTATATAGTCAATAACCTCAATATATTGTAGAAAGTTTTAGGATAAATTTGTGCGTCAGTCAGGGTCCTGACAGGAACAGAGAGCACATTGGAAGGCTTCACTGGGGAAAGCTGAATGAAGGGACTGTTCACAGAGGTGCGGACAGGGTTACAGGAACTGAGAGTGAACGGGGAGCTATCAGGAGGTGGTGGAGCCTAGCAGGAAGTTGTTACTACAGCTGGATATAAAGGGCATAGGGAGGAAGGAGTTAGTGGAGCTTGGAGCTGTGGAAGTAGGACGCCTGACAGGAACAGGAGCCTGAAACCGAGAACTCAGCTCCTGCTAGAAAGGAAGGGACGGCATAAATACCTCGACTTCTTTCTTCTTCCACCCTCCTATCTCTTTCCATTAGCCAAACCCAACAGGAAGTCAAAAGGAAGCAAGCCAGAGTGACACTTTTTGTAGTAAGCTACAGTATCAGGAAACACAGAGCAGAGCGGACAAGGGTGTCGGGTAGGAAATTTTGGGGCCATGGCAGAGATCCAGTGAGTGAGATCCAACACATAAGCGTTTTTGACCTTGGGGAATTTACATAGCCCCTCTGTAGCTCCATTTCCTGCAGAGATTAATTATTTCATGCAACACATATTTATTGAAACCTTGCCTTGTAGCAGGTCTTATTCTAAAAGCTGGAGATGAAGGGGAAAATGAAACAGACAAGTCTTCTGCTCTCCTTGAGCTTACTTTCTACAGAAAACAAATTAGCAAAAAATAATTCCGTCATACAGAGTAGCATATAGGGAGTAAAGGCTTTCTGCATAGGTGACCTTTAAGAGAAAACACGAAAGACAAAAAGTGCCACTCCTGAGAGGCTCTGGGAAGAGAGAATCAACTAGTGAAGGCAAGGGGCTCTCTAGAAGGAATGAGGGGGAGAGAAAATCAGGGTGACGAGAGCAGAGTGACTGAGGGGAAGTAGTCGAGTTGAGGTCAGAAAGATGGGAAGGGCCAGATCAGGTAGAGAGTCACAAGTTGGTTTTGGATTTTATTTTAAGTATGCTGGGAAGTCTTCGAAGGATTATAAAGTGAGGAGTGTGATATGACCTAATTGACATCTTGAAAAGATCACTTGGCAGCTGTGTAGAACAGACAACAAGGGAGACCAGTTAGGACACTACTGGAATATTCCAGGCAGATGATAACTGGGTGAACTGGGTTGGGTTGTTGTAGATATGGAAAGAAGGGAAAGGATTGGGAAGCTCTTTTAGGAATGGTGCCTAAAGAACTGCTTATGGGATGGATGTAGGGTTGAGGAAGAGGAGAGGGATCAAGGGTGATCCCTACATTTTGACTTGAGCAACTGGGCAGATGGCGGTGATGGTTACTAAGTGGGGAAGACTGCAAGTATTTTAGGAGAGATAAGAATCACATTTTGATCTTGTTAAGTTTGAGGTGCCTATAAGAGAAATCAAGGAGGTGGCAGTTCATATGATTTTGGAGTTTAGGGGAAAGGATAATAACATTTACTTCAGAGAATTGTTGGGAGAATTAAATGAGATAATAACAGTAGAGTGCACACAGACATAGACATTCCACTAGTTTAGTTCCTTTCCTCTTCCTTGCTCCTGCAATACTCATGAACAATATCTCTAACCCTGAACAAGCCATGAAAAGTTAATATCACATGCACTGGCTACTGGCTCCCTGCTCTAAGCATTCAAGTACTTGGGGGAAGTTCTTCATGGAAGTGTCTCTCCCACCCCATCTCTCACGCTGTACCCTCCATTTCCAACATCCATAAGTTGTAAAGGACTGCAGCGGTAACAGACTCATGTTAGTCCCCTTGATCAAGTGCTACAGCATTTATAATGGGGCCGGCCTGGTGGCACAAGCCGTTAAGTGCACGCGCTCCGCTGCGGCGGCCCGGGGTTTGCCGGTTCGGATCCCGGTCGCGCACCAATCAATGCACCGCTTGTCAAGCCATGCTGTGGGGGCGTCCCATATAAAGTGGAGGAAGATGGGCATGGATGTTAGTGCAGGGCCAGTCTTCCTCAGCAAAAAGGGGAGGATTGGCAGATGTTAGCTCAGGGCTGATCTCCTCACTGAAAAAAAAAAAAATAAGTGCTAAAGCATTTATCTTAAATTTAGTCGTGGCCTGAAGATGCGCTACAGGCAGTTGCCTCACGCTTCTTGGAAGAGATTGAAATGTCAGAGAAAATACGAGACGGCTGTATCGACATGTGTAAAAGCTTCCACACTTCTACCATAGATTTATCAACATCCTTCTATGTTGAACTTCAAAGATACAATTATGTGACTCCTACCTCTTATCTTGAATTAATCTCCACCTTCAAACTGTTGTTGGAAAAGAAAAGAAGGTAAAAATGAAATTTCATATTTCTGAGTAAGCTATGGCGGTTTAAAAATATTTGTGTGTACAAAAATGACATAGCTATGGTGTAGTCGAGATTTATTTTATGTGTATATACCGTGAGTTTTGTTAAATCTTTAAATGATTTACTCCACAAACATTTTAAGGGTAGGGAGCAGGTCTTATTCTTTTGTAGAGAGGCATTGCCTAGCACACCGTTAATGTATAATCGTGTTTGTTGAAGGAATGAAGGTGTGCCACTCAGAGCTGTGGTAAGGCCCCAGGATACTTTGATAGTGATATTGAGTAAACACCAATAGAGAGTAATTTTTCTTTGATAAGTAATTAGATAGGAGATAAACCTTCTCTTTAGGTACTGAACCATTGAAACCCAGAGACAGCCACTCAATATGCATGGTCAGCTTTCCTTCTTCAAATAAACTCGCATTTGAAAACATCAGTATAAACATCAATAAACTTGGGTACTATAGAATGTGTCGAAGTGAATTTTTTGATGTCTTTGAGAGTAACTTTTACATGCAGAAAAGTTTGTTCAAAAGTTTCTTTGGGGGGGCCAGCCCAGTGGCGTAGTGGTTAAGTGCGTGCGGTCTGCTTCCTCAGCCTGGGGTCCACAGGTTCAGATCCCAGTCGCCGACCGATGCACCACTTGTCTAGCCATGCTGTGGTGGCGTCCCATGTAATATAGAGGAAGATGGGCACGTTAGCCCAGGGCCAATCTTCTGCAGCAAAAAAAGAGGAGGATTGGCATCGGATGTTAGCTCAGGGCTAATCTTCCTTACACACACAAAAAAGTTTCTTTGGTCCTAAAATTTAATACTCAATATGTATATTACAAAATGTGAAAACATTAAATTAACTAGAAATTTAGAAGTTCAGAAATTTTAATGATCACTTTTAAGGGGATCTTCAACTACTTCAACTTTGAATGTTTGGTCACATTCAAAAAGTTGTTTAAACAAATTTTTTACATTGCATTTATAATTTTTAATTTTTTATTCCCCTTTTGGGGTCTGATTTAACAAATCAAATTTTCCTAGGTACTTAAGTAATTTATAAAATCTAGTAAGTTAAACTTATGTGTATGTTTAAGCCTTAAGTTCTTTTAAATGTTTTATCTATAAACTTAGTGAGATTTTTTTTCACTTAAAAACACAAATTTATCTCTATTGCTCAATTACACAATTTATATTGGACTACAAGGCTGATCTGTTAAAGTAACAGACCAAATTCTTTTAAACATTAAAAAATATACTTAAAACACCAAATGTGCACAGATTCCTTAACACAAAAATATTAATACTGAGTTTAATTTTTGCATATTAACTGTAGTTAATTCTAAATCTTCCCGTGGCTAACCCACTATCTCAGGCATTTTGAAGCACCTTTTCTCATATTGTCCAGGATGCACCCTAGATCCTGGGAGGATGCCCCTCACCCGTGTTTGTAGTGACTGTTGTAATGCCTTCTGCAGCTGGGGCGTCATAGTTTCCTGCTCACCATGGTCCACACCTCCGGGTTTGAATCACACCATTAGTATTTTTTCCGTCTGCCTAGTGCAGTCTGCAGCCTCCACCCACGGCTGCTACGTGACTCAGCTGAATTTTATTACTTCTTTGGCTGTCAAAATAGTGATCTTTCCATGCAGATCTTAGGCTCTTTAACTTAATGGAATCTTGCTTTTTTTTTTTTTTCTCCCATGTTTTCCCATCCAGGAGGATCCAGGAGGATCCGAACCTCTTGGAGAGTCTGATTACTTTTTGAATCTCACTGATATCTCTCTTTGATTGTATGCTCACAATGTTTAGGACCGTCCTAACTGAAAGATTATAAAAATGAAACACAAACTTATAGGAAGGTTGAAAGTAATAGTTTTCTAGGCATTTTTAGATATTCTTATTTGCCTTTCAAATTTTCCTCTTTTTTAAAAAAATTCTCCTTTACCTCAACTAGAATTCCCCCCCTGTATTTTCTCTTCCCTTAATAGCTAAAGCCTTCACATCTCTTTATAGCCAGCTAGTACTGTAACCTAGAAGCAAGTGATCAGGTTACCTGCCAGGAAACCAGTGGTTTAGCTAGCAAAGCATCACATGGGATGACCCACAGTGTTGAACTGCTTCCTGCTGTCAGGAGTGAGACCTTTCCCTTGCTTGCTCCACAAGGTTCCAGCTGAACCCGAACTCAGGGATAACATGGTCTCGTGTATCCAGTCCCCTCAGTTCCACTACTGTCAAGTAGTTTGCTAACTCAGAGAGAACCAACATGTGACAAAAATGTTGCATGCCCTTCACTTCTAAATTTTATTTTTTTCTGACAGTCTTTTTAATGATCTCCTCGTAACCTATTCCGGCTCAAGCCAGTTAAGCAGTCAGTTAAGAGTGTGCTTCTGCCTTTAGACAATTATTGGGCTGGATCGTTACCTACTCCAGCCTATTTTTTGAAGAGGATTTCTAAAAGATGTCACCTTTTACATTGAAATATTATGGTATATCAAATATTCAAAATGAAACAAATTATAAAGAGGAATAGTTTTCTCTACATATTTCTCTGGATTATTTTCTAGAGAACATATATGAATGCAGATAAAAATTTTAAAGTACATCACAATATTATATTATTTCTAACCAATTATTATTACCTTGTAATCATTTTGCACCAAAAAAAAGTATTGACTTTATTATCTATCCTATTTTTCACTTTTATCTTAATTAAAAATTCCTGTTTCAGGATATTGAAGACATCTTAAAATCATTTGCCACCTTTGGCAACATTTTGAGCACTGAAGTGTATTTAAAGAAGTGATTATAAAAAGGTTTTAAGGAACCACAGAGTTGTTGGAATAAACTTCCCAAGGTGCCTAGTTTTAGAGGTACACCGTCCATTTTGGTATAGGAGACTCCTCGCCTTGTACCTAGTATATAATAAATAAAGAAGGGTAACTTCTGAATCTCTATTGTATGCTTAGATATCGTGCAAGGTACTGGAAATACAAAAATGAACAAGACATACTGTCTGCACTTAATTACGCATATCCCATTTTCTAGAGTTTATATTTTTTAACAAATTGTTAATATATGTGAAAATCTTTCAGACCACTTCTTTAGTTATGCCTTGAAAAAGACTGAAAAGCTCAAGAACACTTAATTTTTCCCCTTGACGGAGGATACAGAGCCTGACGACTAACCTCGTTTTCTCTCTTTGCTTTCAGTGAAGTAATGAAGATGAAAAAGAGGTACGAAGTGGGCTTGGATAAACTGGATTCTGCTGCGTCTCAAGTAGCCACAATGCAGTTGGAGCTGGGTGCTCTGCATCCTCAGTTAAAAGTCGCCAGCAGAGAGGTTGACGAAATGATGGTAATCATTGAGAAGGAGTCTGTAGAAGTTGCCAAAACAGAGAAAATAGTGAAAGCTGATGAAACGATAGCAAATGAACAAGCGATGGCTGCCAAAGCTATCAAAGACGAATGTGACGCTGACCTGGCAGGGGCCTTGCCCATCTTAGAGTCAGCGCTCTCCGCCCTTGACACTCTCACCGCACAGGTAAGAGCGCACCACACACTTGCCAGGAAATGTGTCATCATAGCTCAAGAAAGCACTTACCATCACGGGCTGCAACCTAGTCTGTCTCGCCAAGGTAGTCTCCAGTTTTAATACAGTCAAAATCATTTCAAATTGGCAGAAAGATTCCCTAATTCACCTGAAAAAAGAAATGTATATGCATGACTAAGACAATTTTTAAAAGAGAAGAAAGCTGCCAGATGTTATAACCTGTTACTCTTATTTCACGAATTTTGCATAACAACTTTGCACCACAATAATGGACAGAGGCATAAGACACAAGTGTATGTTTTGATTCTAAGGTGCACCTTTTTTATATCTAGACACTTTTGTAATTGGAATACGCCTTACAGTAGATGTGATAAAGTATTGTGTCAATGGGTTTTTTTTGGTGATATATAAAATAATGATATGGCTAATAATGTTATGTTTTATAATAGCGTGTCTTAGATTTGATGAAATGTGGTATTGGAAATTAATTTGTGAAAGGGGAACATTTCAATTAAGAAAGATAAAGGTGAATTTTTAAAAATAAATAGTGTTGAGAATCTTGGCTAAACCTTTGAGTGGGGTAGTGAGAGAGTGTTAGATCTTTTCTTCACACCTGACTCCAAAATAGATTTGAGATGGAAATTTAAATATAAATAGTTATATTACTGTAGAATACTAGAAAATGTAAGTCAGATGTTTATAATCTTGGCATGCATTATTAGCTAGTGTTTTCTTGGTATGAGAAAAATCATGAAAACAAAAAAAAAACTAAGCAATATTGTTTGTAATATATGTGCTCTGGACACTCTGTTGTATTTTTCATAATTGATAACATTTTTTAAAAAGTAATAAATTTTTGTATCTAAAAACCAACACATTTGTTTGATATAAACACCATGGATATAAGTTTGGAAACACTGAGGAAAAATATTTGAAATATATGGCAAACAAAAGATTAATATGCCTTATGTAAAAAGCTCTTACAAATCAATAAGAAAAAAAAGCTCTAAGATAGTAAATGATATAAAGAAGTAACTTACAAAAGAAGAAATACAAATAGTCAATAAACATATGAAAATATATCCTACCTCACTTGTATTTAAAGAAATGCAGATAAAAATAAGATTTCGGGCCAGCCCCATGGCATAGGAGTTAATTGCTCGCGCTCCACTGCTGGCAGCCGGGGTTCGGATCCTGGGCGCGCACCGACACACTGCTTTTCAGGCCATGCTGTGGTGGCATCCTACATAAAGTGGAGGAAGATGGGCACAGATGTTAGCTCAGGGCCAGTCTTTCTCAGCAAAAAGAGGAGGATTGGCATGGATGTTAGCTCAGGGCTGATCTTCCTCACACACACAAAAATAAATAAATAAGATTTCTTTTGCCTATCAGAATGCCTACCAGTGTTGCTAAGGGTATATGTAGTAAAGTAGGAAGCCTTATATACTTTCTGAAGAGCAGTTTGTCAATATGTGTCAAAAGCTTTCAAAATAAAAGACATACAGTCTTTAATTCAGTATGGCGATTGCAATAGTAAAAAAATGGAGAAAAAAGCACAGGTAAGGTATTAGAATTATGATTCATATCTGTGCATTGGAAGGCTGTAAATGGTTATGTTTGTAAATGTTTACTACCATGAAAAGGATATTCACTATATATTGTTATTGAAATAGGACAGGTTTTAAAACAGCATGTATGTTGTGTATTCTGTTATTCTATTTGTTAAAATATGGCATATACACTGTTTGTAGGATATACACATAGAAAAAGATATGGAAGAATGTAAATGAAAAAGTTTACAGCAGTTTAGTGTATATAATAGGATTACAGGAGACCTACATATGTATAATTTCTCTGTATTTTCCTAATGTTTGCATCTATGACTTGTATAGTTTTTAAGAAGCTATAAAACTCTTACTTGTGACACCCAAACCTCTCTTTTGTGTATTTTTGAAGTAGACTTCATGTCATAAGTAATCACACGTAGGGTATCTTTCTATTATTCTTTTTTGTTTTTAATTTTTCCTTTGGGACAAACTTCTCAATGCTTCTAGAGACGATAAGATCACTATCACTGTTTCTACCCAATGAGCAGAGTGAGTTTCTGTATCTTATGGCTTACTTTGAAAATAGGAACCAATTAAAAGTTATGTGTAAACAAACAATTCTTTTTTAGTAATTAGCTTGTTGTTATTTTCAGGACATCACAGTGGTAAAATCCATGAAGAGTCCTCCTGCTGGCGTCAAGCTAGTTATGGAAGCCATATGCATCTTGAAAGGCATCAAAGCAGACAAAATCCCTGACCCCACAGGTTCCGGAAAAAAAATAGAGGATTTCTGGGGTCCAGCTAAGAGACTTCTTGGTGACATTAGATTTCTACAGTCACTTCATGAATATGACAAGGACAATATTCCTCCAGCTTATGTGAATATCATAAGAAAAAATTATATTCCAAATCCAGATTTTGTTCCAGAAAAGATTAGAAATGCTTCCACAGCAGCTGAAGGTCTGTGCAAATGGGTCATAGCAATGGATTCGTATGACAGGTGAGGACTGGCAGAAAGAATACTAACTGATAGGTTTTATTTTCAGGTTTGGTCAGTTAGACAATATGAAACTTAAAAGCTATGTAGGTGAGAGGCTTCTCAGAAAATTATGTCTAATACTTGCTATGTGTTTACATATTTACTGGAGAGAAGATTTTACCAATTAAATAGTATAATACAGTGGTACTTAAAGTTTTTGGACTCAGGAGCCGTTTACACTTTTACAAATTATTGAAGGGGCCGGCCCAGTGGCTTAGTGGTTAAGCCACTTCACACACTCCGCTTCGTGGCCCGGGGTTCACAGGTTCGGATCCCAGGCGCGCACCGATGCACTGCTTGTTAAGCCATGCTGTGGTGGCGTCCCATATAAAGTAGAGGAAGATGGGCACGGATGTTAGCCCAGGGCCAATCTTCCTCAACAAAAAGAGGAGGATTGGCAATAGATATTAGCGCAGGGCTAATCTTCCTCACCAAAAAAAATAAAAATAAAAAATTGAAGAACCCCCCACCAAATCTTTATCTACCATACTAGAAATTAAAACTGAGAAATACTTAATTCATCTTAAAATAGCAAAAAAAAAAAAATGACATAATTAACATTTTATTTTTTAAAAATCTACATTTTCAAAAAAATTTGTGAGAAGAGTGGTGGTGTTTTATATTTTTGCAAATCTCTTTAGTATGCTGTTTAATAAAAGATAGCTAGACTCTCAAATCTGCTTCTTTGTTCAATCTGTTGCAATATACTGCTTTGATTGAAGTATATGAAGAAAATACAGCCTCATACAGCTGTTTAGCTGAACAAGGGAGGATCTCAGGGACTCCCCGAGTAGGAGGGGGTGTGGCCTGGACCACATCTGAGAAGCGCTGATATAATATATATTCTTTGTGAGACAAGGAGCTTTTTTGATGATTGTATGAGAGCCATTTATATCATGTACAAAACAGCAAAAACTATTGGTTATTTCTTCAAAAAGCAACTATTACAGGATGTCTTTTAAACTCATGCACAACTTGAATCGTTGTATGTATATATTACACGCTATATATGTTTTGTTATATATTATGTTAATGATAAATTTTAATTTAATGTTTTATCCTTTGGAAAGATAACATGGCTGACTTGGTTTTCCAGATAGGGAGAAGAGAATTTAGAGTCATCCTTTTTCATCTATGTCCCTTTTACTACCAAAATACATATTTATAAGATAGCTGGTTTTAGTTAAGGGTATATTCTTAGATTTTTTGTAAAAAAGCAAAATAACATAGATAAAATACCTCACTGTCTCGTCATCAGAATTAAGGCTTAATGAATTAGGCTAGTTTCCGCAAATACTGTAATATTCTCCATAAATATGCTATTCTCCTTTTGCAAAATCACCAAAATTCACGCTGGCAACAATCGAATATTTTATTTTGGGCAAAAAAAATTACTTATTTGAAAACAATATGCATATTTGGTATCTATTTTAATAGTCATTTCTTATGTGCTGGGATCATGTTTGATTCTTAGATGAAATATAGAATATAGAAATCAGTATAGATTTTGCATAAAGATGTGTGCTGAGTGATAGTAAGGATATTAGAAAAGTCAATTCAGTGATAGAAAGTGCACCAGAATATTAAATGTATATTTCATTTTCCAATTTTACTTTTTGCAGAGTGGCAAAAATAGTGGCTCCCAAAAAGATAAAACTGGCAGCGGCTGAAGGGGAGCTCAAAATTGCCATGGACGGCCTCAGGAAGAAGCAGGCAGCCCTGCGGGAAGTTCAGGACAAGCTGGCAAAGCTTCAGGACACACTCGAACTCAATAAACAAAAGAAGGCTGACCTGGAGAACCAGGTATGGGGCAAAGCAGGCAAACATGGTCAAATCCTCGGTTACCGTGAACAAGAATGATGTTCACACCAGCACATTACACAGCAATCCTATGTTCTTCCTGTTCAGGGGTTGGCAAGCTATGGCCACCGGCCTAACCCACCATCCATATGGTCCATAAGCCAACAATGGCTTTGACATTGTTGAAGACTCATATATAATGTCATTGCCTTGTATAATGTCAGATGGTACTTTGACGTCATATAAGTACCTACCTAATATCCCCGATTGTGCCTCCTGGCCCACACAGCCTAAAATATTTACTTTATGGCCTTTTCAAAAAAAAAAATTGCCAGTCATCTCTGCCTTAGATTACTAGAATATTGAGCTAGACTATTTGAGTCACTCTTCATGTTATAGGTAGGGAAATGGAGAACCAAAATGTTAAGTGACTTAGGTTGTATAAGAGTTAATGGCAGAGCTGAGATTAGAACTCAATGCCCAGAACCAAACTGTGTCCACTGAAAATGGTTGTAGGACAAAACATCGCTCCAACTTACATAGTGATACCATTTGCAAAAATTAATCGCTGAAGTCTGATTATGCTCCAGGAAAAAAATGTCAAAATATTTTGTAACAGTTAATATTTATTGAGTACTCATTAAGTGCAAGGCACTATTGTTCTGCGAGCAGTGTGCATTGTCTCATTTATTCCCACAGCAGCCTCTGAGGGAGGTGATCTTTTTGGACCATTTTATGGAAATGAAAGCACAGTAGGGTTAAGCGACTTGCCCGTGGCCAGCCCAGCTTCTAGGCATTGAACGCTAAGATCTGAACCCAGGCAATCTGACCCTGAGAGCTATGCTCTTTCCCACAGCCCAGACTGCTTCTTTCTCTAAGACAAGTGCACAATTTCTATGTTTGTACAAATATATAACATTGTGCTAATCTTTAGAAATGTGACCTATTATTGGGCATGATCTCCAAGTGATCAGTTTTAGTTTAAATAATATAACTAATAGGTGGGCATGTGGTTGCTCACTGTCAACATTTTTCAACTTTGCTGTATGTTTGAAATTTTTATTTACTTTTTATAATAAAATGTTGTAAAATTATGGTAATGTAAAAAAAATGTATGCATGTATGTGTGCTAAAAATCTGCTTTTGGAGGAGAAATTTTAACTAAAATATTTTTACTTAGTAGTTTCTGATGGCAACTTTATCATAGTCCAAGACCTGATTCAGCTTATCATAAACATTGTTGAAAGAAAAATGGATGAAGAAAGCAACTAGGAAGACAGAAGATATTAAAAGAGGGAAAATTAAAAGAAAAAAGGTTTAAATTTAGGAAGTATCAAAAATGTTACCAGTTACATACCTTTTGCTTTTTTAGACCTATCTTTAGATAAACCGATATAGTTTTTTATATCTTTCAATCTAAAAGCATTTAATATAAATATTAATAGCATTAGGAAAAAGTATAAGCCAAACTCTTATTCCAAAATAATCTAAATGTCTCTGCTTTTATCAATTACTTACTTCCTCTTTTCATGTAAATTATTTCATTCTGAACCTTAAGCTAACCTTTACTTAATTTTGTTTCTTCCAAGAATAATGATGCTAAGTCACTCAAAATTAAATAAAAATAATTCAGGTATTCTACTGGAATATTGCGAGTGCATAGGTTGAAATGGCTTTTCCCCAGGTTTGCCACCTTCATAATTAGCCTTTTTTTTTTTAATCACGTTGCTTAATTACATATAATCAGATTTGGTTGACAGTCTTATGCACAATGTAGGCTCTCAGCTATTGATTGATGTCCTAATTTAAGGTTAATTGCAAGCATCTGAGTCAGTTGACACAGTCTAACAACTTGAAAATTGTACTTTGTAAGTAAGCATCAATTATTAAAACTTTTAAACATTTAACCTTTAAAATTATCATTAAATCAACTAGAACTTAAATGAGGGGAAAACGTTCATAGAATATTTAAAATAAAATGCATTTTGATTATTAAAATAGAGGGAAAACATCTATATTTGTAAGAGAATGCCCTTTATTACTTAATTAACTTTCAGTGTCTCATACTGTAGGTTATTTTCTTAAATAGAGCTATTCTTTGCGTTATATGATAAATATCCATTATGAATTTCATAAATTGTGTTAAAGTACATACTTTATTATGAAAAAGAAAATTCTAAAAAGTCATGGACTCTCCAGTATTTAAAGTAAGATATCTCACATTTTTCTTTTAGAGATTTAAAAAAAATTACAGGCATAAGTTTGTAATTAGAAAAATAATTTATCTCTGAGGGTAAAACCTTGCAGAATTTTTAACTTATTCTGCTTGTGGATGGTGATAAAAGCTTACTTTTATTTTTGAGGTTGACTTGTGCAGCAAAAAGCTAGAACGAGCTGAGCAGTTGATTGGAGGCCTTGGGGGTGAGAAAACGCGATGGAGCCAGACAGCGCTGGAGCTGGGGGAGTTGTATATCAACTTGACAGGTGACATCCTCATCTCCTCGGGAGTGGTCGCTTACCTGGGAGCCTTTACGTCCAGCTATCGACAAGTAAGGACAACTAGTTGATTTCTAAGATCTCTTCCAGACCCTCATTACAGCCAGAGTTAATCTTAGGGATCTTTGTTTGTTTTTTGGTAAATATGAAGAGCAAAACGTTTTTAAGTGATTTCCAGTTGTGTATTTTAGTTTTTCTATCAATTAGGTTGGTAGCCAAAAGATGCTGTATCAGATACTCTTGTAAAATCAAGTTGTTTTAGAAACAAAAAGATCTACTTTAAAATGTAGTGAGATGGTAGTCCCTGATAATAAAATTCAGTTCCTAAACAAGTATAAAGGTATCAGGATTTTTTTTGGTATGTGTGTGGGTTTAATCAGCTACTCCCTACGAGTCTCAATAATAAATCATTTCCAAATCACTTCAGAGACGGAAGCTTTACGGGAGGAAAAGGTGAGGCTGCCTGAAACCCAACTGAGAAGCAGCTCTTTCCTTAGAAAACCAACGCCGACTTCCCTGCTGTGAGTTCCCACCCCTTTGATGGATTCTGCTTGTCTGCTTCTCCCTGATCCAACTCCTAACCCTATTTCTCCTCCCTGCATTTTTCTTCCACTCTTCCGTCCCTTCCTGAGCGGGACCCAGCATAGTCTTCAGCTCTCCTTAGGAAAATTAAACTGGAATCTAACCCAGGACATGGCCCTGTCAAAGCAGGAGGAGAACTTTAGAAAAATTAAAAGAACTGAAAAAAAAAAAAAAAAAAGGAAGGTACAGAGGAGAGAGAAATTTCAAACATTTGGCAATACCTTCTCGTGTCAAGCAAAGAGAGAAGGAGTGAATAACTCACCTTTGTCATCTGACAAAGCATTTGCTTGCACGTGGTCTCAGTTGAACTTCACTTAACGTTGGGGCTTTCTCTTAAGTGGACTTGATTCTTCATGGCCACTGTTTTGATTTGTTTGATTGTTTTTAACCAGACGGGGTTTAAAATCCTCACATAAATGGCACTTCTGTCTTTAGTCTTTTGGGTTTGGTAGCCCCCATCCTGGTGCACGACCTTCATATTCCTCTTAGCTTTGCCTTTTCACTTGTATCTTTGAATGACTGTCTACAGTTATGGCACTAACATCTTGTAGTTCAAATAATTAACATTTAACATGACACTATTTAGCTAGTAATGGACTTGTTTGCTCGACAATTTCAGAGACTGAGACTTTTAAAGATTAAGAGAGTTGCTCAGAGCCACACAGATGGTTAATGACAGCAGGAATGACACTTGTAGTCACCCAAATCCTAATTTAGCGCTCTTTCTTCTCTCCTACATCAACTTGGAACAATGGAAGAAGTAGTCGCAGCCACCCTTACCCTTCTCTGTTGGCTCCCAGTATACCCCTGGGTGTCCGCACTGGCTCCTGTTTAGTGTTCCAGTGCCATGCTGAAAGTATACCAGCCAGTACCATTCCTCCCAACCCGACCCCCTCTCATTTCAAGGCGCTGCATTTGCTGACACAGCAGTCACTCGCTTCTACCAGAGTGGGGGCTGCCAGTCAGACCACCACACAAATGCTTCAAGGGAGCGTTGAGGTCCAGAACCAAGACCTTGGAATTTAATGACAGAAGCAAAGCGACACTTCAAGGTAGACACAAGATACAACCAAAGCTCATAGCTCTTTCTGTGAACTTACATCCACTGTCCCCACCCCTGATTCAAGTAGCCATGTTATCCCATCCCAGCTTATCTCCATGGAGGCTTGAAGGCAGTTTTATCCCCCCTTTCTTCACTATGGCAACCTAGGCTATACTTTTCTTAACAAGTCTCGAATGTCACTGTTCCTTCCTGTGAATTCATTCTCTGAGTCCTACTCCATCACCTTCTCTCTTTTATCTGTTTCTCTCTGGTCAGGGCAGCTGGCAGTTCACAGCCCATCAAAAGTTTCCCATTCAGTTCTAAGCATAAGGGTTATAGTGGCAACTTCAGTGCTCTGCCCGGATCCCTTCCTGGCTTCCTGTGTTTTCGTGGCCAACAACCAGCACCTGTCTCTTTTTTTGGCAGTCTTCCCTTGGGTTCTTAGAACCCACTTTGCCCAATGCTTGGAGAGCTAGAATTGCCTGGGAATTTACTTCCCTCTGGCTCAGGCCTACTGAATGACTGACAGAGATGGGGGCATGAGAGTCCGTCTCCTTCCTTCTGGTTGGGACCACTCCAAGGAATAACTTACAGTTTCTGTAGGATCAAGCTGAAGCCACTGCTGCGGAACTTTGGCAGATCCCTCACCTTTTATTGGCTTCTTCTCCATCCTTCTTGTGCTTCCCCTGGCATCCATTCCTTAATAAATCACATAAATCTTCCTCTCAGAGTATGCTTCTAGGAAACCCAACTAAGACAAAATCTTGGTTCTTTTCTAACATCAAAGTCCCAGGATACCAAGACCCCTCGATAAATAGCTGGACCACCTCCCTCCAAGCTTCATTCTGTGCAGTTGTTAATTACTCATCAACCCCCTTGTAAAGTTTCTGGTACTCATCATAAATGAAAAATAGAAAAGTCCAATTCTCCTAGGATACCTGGGCCCGCAGTAATTCAACTGCAATGCCCGTGCCAGTCTCCAAAACAGACTCCTACAGTGCTGTGAGGACATACAAGCCCTGGAGTTGAATAATCTAAATTTTCTAATGACCTTTCCCTGCCAATAATCAAAGGCAAAACTGTTTTTGTGATGATGGATTTTTTAGTTAGTTTATTTTGGCTTATATTTTGAGATGCTTCTTCAGAGTCCCTCATTTTTATTTCAGTTATTCTCTGCTGCTACACCCTTACAGAGCCACTTTAATTTTTAATCCAGAGTTTATCTGTGATAACATACTGTCAACTATAAACAGCATTCCATAGCAACTATTGCTTTCATTTTCTCTTCTTCCTCATGTTATTGGCTGTCATGCCTACTCCAGCAGCAAGCTATATCTGAGAAAACCTGCAGACCTCCCTAAAAGTCTGCAGGCCAACTATAGCATGACAACAAAGAAATCAAAACATGCCAGTAGGGACTGTGTACTAGGAGGCAGAATCCAAAGTGGAAATGCTCTCTGCCCCTCCTCCCTATAGAGCCACGCCACCTGTTCCTGACATCAACAACCAAACCAAACCAAACAGAAAAGCCCGATGACAGTTATTAAGTACTCATGTGAGGCGAGATCTTACCCCCAGTGTTTGCCCTCTAGTGTTATACCTGTGAATATGTTACATTACATGGCAAAGGGACTTGGCAGATGCAATTAAGGTTGCTAATCAGCTGAACTTAAAATAGGAAGATTATCCTTGGTTAGCCTGGACTTCGCTATAAGGTAAGCCTGAAATATCTTTTTTGAGCAAGAGTAAGGAAGTGCCCAAAGAATGATAGGGACATGTCAAAAAGACATAGAATTTAGCTTAAAAGTACTCTCACTGGCCAAATCAGCAATAAATAATGATGGTAACTATTGTAACTCATTGAATAAAATAGGAAAAGATGTGGGCAAAATGGGTGAAGGGGGTCAAAAGGTACAAACTTCCAATTATAAAATAAATAAGTCATGAGATGTAATGTACAGCATGGTGACTATAGTTAATAATACTGTATTGTATATTTGAAAGTTACTAAGAGAATAGATCTTAAAATTTCTCATCATAGGAAAAAAATTCTGTAACTATATATGGTGACGGATGTTAACTAGATTTATTGTGGTGATCATTTCACAATATTTACAAATATCGAATCATTATGTTGTATACCTGAAACTAATATAGTGTTATATGTCAATTATACCTCAATAAACAAGAGAGACAAAAAGTAGGAAAAGATAAATCTATACAGACATAAATTAATAAATTTCAAAAATGAGTGCCTGACCCAGAATATTTACATAGTTACAAAGTATCTTCCCCCCAAATGCTGATTAGTTACGAAAGGAAAGAGGAAAAGAGCAAGTTAGCAGTGGAGAAGCTGTAATACAATATTTCACAAGTGCTGTCTTCACTCAGTTTTGAATCATGATTAAAAACTCTGAATTCCCTTTCATGGGCAGTTTGCTAAGCCTCACCCCAACCGTTTCCCTTGTCAGGCTCTAATACTCCTGGGGAACAGTAGGCATGTACCCAACTTCCAGAGGCCGCCAGGTACCTAACACCCAGAAGGGAAGGCCCCTTCTTCCTTGTGCCTGTGGAATTATTCAAAATACCCAGTCCCCAGGAAGCCCACGAAGCCTAGCTCACCCCACCCCACTGTGCTTACCGTTTATAAACTGCCTGCCACACACATCTGCCTTGTTGTTACCCCGTATCCAGGCGCAACCTCCTGCGTGGCAGCTTTCTCTTGTTTGGAGCTGTGAGTAACAAAGAGTTCTGCCTTTCATCTGTCTGAATGTCTTTGTGTTGTGTCCCACCATCCAAAGAAGCTTTATTCACACCTAAGATCATATAATTATGAGACAGCAGCCTGGGAGACACCTCAATCAAGTGATATAAACCATCATCAATAAATGAACAATTTGAAATCATGTACCATTGATGGAATGCAGTGAGAACACAACATCATTTCTATGATATTCCTGCCACAGTTGCAAAACCTGAATTGAACCATGAGGGAACGTCATACAGACCCAATTGTGGGGCATTCTACAAAATAACTGGTTAATCAAGTTATGAAAGTCATCAACTCTCCCCAAACTGTCATGGCCTTTGTGTGCAGACCTAAGGGAATGTTGGTCGAATCTACTCAATAGGAATCTGAGGGAGATGGCAGCACCCACCATGCCCTCTCCACCAGCACCACTTCGCACACACAGCATCCTGATCTGCCCACAGGCTGGTACCAACACCATGTATATCCACCTTCCCCATGTCTCTTCCTAATCTATTTTCTCTCTGGTCTTGTCTTTCACTATTTCTGAATTATTTGATCTGTAACCTCAAATTGGACCTTGACTTCTGACTTTCTGAGTGTGAACCTGGGCTTGAAGCATCCTAGCAAACTTTGCCCCAGGTGGGGTATCCCAAACTCCAATATATGCCCTGATCCTTGGTGCCTAATAGCCCTGCCATGGTACCTCCCCCAGGGCATGTGCGAGCCAGAAACAAATGTTTTCTGTGTCCCTCCCAATTCAAATTGGATTTACTTTTATAACATAATATTGTATTAAGGTTTGCTGGATACTTGTAATTTAAAGAAAATATGTAGAAAAACATGGTGGTCTCCAACTTCTTTGTCAAGTGAAGCTTTAGAAAAATAATTGGCAATTATTTTTTCCAGATACAAAAGTCTGACTTTACTATTAAGTGATCTATCTAAACTTTATCTTAACATTGGATATAATTAATTTTCAGTTGAATACATAATGGACCTTCTAAATTATCATTTTATTTGAAAAAATCTGATAACCACAAATCACTTTTGAGGTAGAGTTTCAATAATGGTTTGTTGACTCAATGAATAAAGTGTAATCAAAGAGTATACAAAGTATTCATTTGGTAATCTCCAGCCTCGTTTTTATATCTTTCTATGTGTGTCTTAAAGAACCAAACCAAGGAGTGGACAAATTTATGCAAAGGAAGAGATATCCCCTGCTCCGATGATTATTCCCTTATGGGTATCCTGGGAGAAGCGGTGACAATTCGAGCCTGGAATATTGCTGGGTTACCTTCTGACTCATTTTCCATTGATAATGGGATCATCATAATGTAAGGAAAATATTTTTCTCACAAATTATTAATCAGTAGATTTATGTATCTGTGCACCTTTTTAGCAATTATAGCTAATAAACGTTTATAGTATTGAAGACAAAATTTTACTTTCTTAGCTAGATTAAATGTGAATAATCACTTTCCTTTCATACTAATATTGGAATAGTAAGTATTGGAGACGGTAGTAAACAAACTAAACCCAGATGACATTTGCTTAATTTTTAATCAATTTTTAGCAAATAGAGCAATACCCTACCATAAGTAAGTCCAAACTTTTTATTCCCATAAAATACAGGGCTTTGGGGTTGCAGGTTAATGAAAGGTGCAGCAGTGGGTTGTTGGTGGTGATGGGTTTGAGTGTTCTAAACTCTATTAGTCCCTGCTGGGTGTAGGACCAGCTTAAATGATATGGATACACTTCTGGGTCCTGGGCTGATTGGGGCTTTCAAGACAGTGGCCAGTGCTGCTTTTTCTGGAATCTCCTGGTTAGTAGATAAGTCCCGTGAAGACTGGGCTGGGAGAATACTGGAGGCTCCTTCAGGTCTTACCTTTCCTCCAGGTCTTACCTCCCAGAAGCCAAGGACTTCAGCCTGCCCCAGTGTGAGGACTATCATCAATTGTGTTATTTCCAAGTTCACATTACCACGGACCTTTTATCTATGGGCTAGTCTTCCTGGAGGTTTTAGCGTGTTGGGAATAGCGTAGGTAAACCATCAGTAGGAAATGTTCAGTTCTGAATTACATGACTATTTTGATTAGTTTTTAGTTTACTACTGAAATAGTAACCGATATGATAGTACTTAATTTAAAGTAAAATGGTTGAGGCATGTGAATTGTTGAAATAGAATTAACCACTACATGTGAAGACTAGTTATTCTTAAATTTTTTGTGTGTACTATTTATGAAAATTATTCCATAAATTAAAACTCTGGTGAACACATTTCTTTACTGCTTGACAAATGATCCTAACAGATAGATTTCTTTAGCATTTATTTGCTGAATTATTCTATAGGGATTTGAGGTATGTGCAATTTGAATATAATGTAAAACAAAATAAACTCTGATGAGACCACCTAGGGGAAGTTAAAGTAATAGTTACTACTAGTTACTACTAGGTACTTGAGACAAGCTAATCCTTTCAGCTGAGCCCTGAATTAAGGTCAAAGCTTTCTGGTAACTAAAGCAGAAAAGAAAAGCTGTGTCATATAGTTCTCATTTTTTAACTAAGTAAATCATACTTAGAGAGACAAACTTTTTCAGGAACTAAACTTAAATTTAATTATTTTGTTGATTTAGAGAAAAGATTACAAAGCTTTTCTTTGGGGGACTAAAATTGAGTACTGGATACTCTGCTGTGATAATCTGAATTAATCCAGAAGAGAAACTGCAGAATCTAGGTAAATGATAAATATCTGCATTAGTTTGCAGCTAAAACAGATTTTTAAGTGCCTTTTAACAAGCCCAGGATGGCAGCCGGTTTGTTGTTGAATTAGTTAACAAGGAGGGGGCACAGTTTGTGCTGGGGTTCAGTGTTAGAGCACGCATCGGATATTGACACATAGGGGAGGTTTCTGCAAGGTTAGAAGTCCATCTTTTACATTGACTTTGGCCCAGCTGGACCAATTAACTTCAGCCTAAAGAATAGTCAGAGTTTTGGTGTTTTCGTTATTGTTGTTCCTGTTGTTTCCTTCTCAGAAAAAACACTTGGCTCTTCCCAAGCACTTGTGAGTATCGTTGGTCATGCCCCACATAGTGGTAATGTCTTTATTGTTTTGATTTGCAATTTACACACGTTTGTTCCACCTAGCAGGACATCTATATCCATTATATCCACTGGACGCTAAATGGCGTCTTATTTTCTAGCAAATAAATGTATGCTTTCTTTTGGGTCCAGTCATATTTCAATAACAACAGAACTATTGATGAATATTTCTCCTTTTAAGATTCTAAACCTTTCAGTGATTATTTTTCAAGACAACAAACTCACATTGTAGGAGAGAGAGAGGTAGAAAACGGTGTTAATGAGCCATAACCCATATATTTTTGCTCTTTGTTTGTAAAAATGTTCGAATATTAACAAGAAGTTATGGTAGCGACTCTACTAAGAAGAAAATATTAACATTTTTCATTCTTGGCTTATTTTGTCAATGTATTTTGGTCATCTTTTATTGAGAGGTTTCAGTAAATAGGTTTAAGGTGATCCTTTTGAAGTATCAGATGAGAATCTTATTTCCTGGCATCGTGCATTCTTCCATTCCCTAGAGATACTTGCTTAATAATGATAATACCTCATATGGAGCAGTTACTGAGGACCTAATACTGTACTAAGTGCCTTTCACGTACTATCTTGGCTAAGTGAGGAGTCGATTATTTAGGGAAACTGGAAGAATCTATACAATTTGGACAACTTAGAATATAATTAACTTTTGGAGCTATTGACAGCTGAAAGTCCTTGGCTAATCAGAATTTCAAGGGCTAGTGATAACATTAAATGTAATTGGATTGTATCTGAACATTTCACGGGGAAAGTATTAGGACTGTTTAACAACTTGGTAAGTAGATCAGACCTGTATCTAATATAACTCTGCTTTTTAAAAATGTCTTTAAGTTTTCATTTCTATAGGAGTCAGATAAATTAGGTTTATTTCAGCAGCAATAGTAACTGACAGGAACATCTACCTTTCCTTCTCTGGTTTTATCTACTTTTATGTGTGTAAAGAGGAAAACAGCAAAACTCTTTGACATGCACCACTGTTATATATTTAAATTCTGTGTCCTTCCATGCATACTACTGTGAACATGTATTATCACTGTTGGAAGTCTGTATTTTTCACAAACTCAAGAGAGCACCAAATAACAATCCTCTCTAGACAAACAAAAGAACTAACAAAAGGAACAAAGAACTAACAAAAGAACAAACACTATTAAAACTTGGAATGCTGAGTGTTATAAAAATTCAATTTCCATTTGGGAACCACCGGTTTTAAAGCATTTCTGGCTTCAAGACTGTTTGGTGGAGGAAGTAAGAGAGAAGATTGCGTGGAGAAAAACGTTGTCTTGTCAAAAAATAATGCAAAATAATGGTGAAGAGGAAGTAAACAATAAACACAGCACTTGTTTATTTCAAATTCAGGATTTATATTCATCCAAAGAGTGAAGCTATTTAAACCAATGTGTGTTGCATATAGCTCTCCACAATAATTGTTGTTATATGTATTTTTAAAAACCAGTACATTCTTTTCTACCTACCCTGAAGAATATCTCCTTTGAAATTTTATTCATCTGATATGATATTCTATGGAAGCCCTAATCTTTTTTTTTTTTTTTTGGTGAGGAAGATTAGCCCTGAGCTAACATCTGTGCCAGTCTTCCTCTATTTTGTATGTGGGATGCCACCACAGCATGTCTTGATGAATGGTGTGTAGGTCTGCGCCAGGGATCCGAAACTGTGAACCTCAGGCTGCCAAAGCGGAGCACAGGAACTTAACCACTACCCCACTGGGCCAGCCTGGAAACCCTAATCTTTAAAAGAAAATACTGTAAACTAAAGTCATAACATTTTCCTGTTTTTGAATCAAAAGATGTTATATTGAGGGTGTTATATGGGGAAAAAAAATTTGATACAGTTCTTAACTGGGTATGGAACAGTATCTGTGTATGTGTGTAAATATATATCTATTTATATATTTTGTGTGTGTAGATATATATATATTTATACACATATAAAAAAAATGTATGGAGAGAGAGACAGAGAATATGAATAGCTATTTGTTCCAGCACAATTTGTTTGGAAACGTTATCCTTCCAGCCTCCAGAACTGTGAGAAACAAATGTTTGTTATGTAAGCCACCCAGTCCATGGTCATTTGTTACAGCAGCCTGAGAGACTAAGACACCCTTACACTCGACACACAGCAGAGGCCCCTTTTCCAGTCTGCTGTCCAGGGAGATGGGTTTTCTCTCAGTGTTTTAGGTGACTCGCCACCACTGCTTCTGCCATGGGATTACAGTTCTGTGGCTGGAGTTGACCTGGGGGCCTGGACAGAAGAGAAAAAAGAGAGAGAAAAACGAAACGTGCATTTCCCCCCACACTCTCTGGCTCACAAGTGATCATTTCTCAGTCCTCTAGTGAGAGTTTCTGTTGCTTGTGCCTCCTGCACAGTTCCCCTCTAGGCCTATTCTCAGATCAACGCCAGAAGATAAGAAGAAAAAAACCCCCAAAACACACAAGGAACTCACCACCCCCTGATTGGTCATTCCTCAAGTTTTAACTTTCCTCCCATTCACTTGTTGTTATTTACTTTTTAGAATCTGCAAGTAGTTGCTCTTTGTTATTTTATCCAGAATTTTTCATCGTAATCAGTGGAAGAGATAGGCTATAATGGGTTTAGCCCAGCTTGTTCAGCACCAGAAGTCCTTTCCCCTGATTTTGAGACAGTGTTCTTTGGACCAGTATTCTCCATGCAGGATGAGCTCTTAGAAAATGTCAATTTTTAGAATGAGTTAGCTTGCATGGTGTTTGTCAGATGTTTTTTGCTATTTTTATTTCAATAGATTATCGTATGCAAACTTTATTTGATCTAGGAAAAAAGGATAAAGAATCAGCATGGACTCTTCCCTCAAAGAGTACACAATTTAGTTGGGTGATGCAGTTAAGAAATTACAGAACTAGGGGCCGGCCCTGTGGCGTAGCAGTTAAGTGCGTGCGCTCCGCTGCTGGCCACCCGGGTTCGGATCCCGGGTGCACACCCATGCACTGCTTGTCAGGCCATGCTGTGGCGGCGTCCCACATAAAGTGGAGAAAGATGGGCACGGATGTTAGCTCAGGGCCAGTCTTCCTCAGCAAAGAAAAAAGAGGAGTATTGCCATGGATGTTAGCTCAGGGCTGATCTTCCTCACACACACACCAAAAATATAGAATTAATAATAGAATATTATCATAATAGAATATTATCATTATATGAAAGCACCATAAGTGTAATGTGGATGAATTGCTAAAGAAGTTCAGAGAGAAAGGAGATCAAGACAGACTTTATGGAGTTCATAGTGTTCAAGCAACCTTGAAACATGAGCAGGACTTGAATATGAAAGAATGGGGAAGAAGTGCATTTTGGACAAAAAACCATCATGAACATGGGTATTGTGGCTAAAAAATGTGGAAGCAACAGAAGGGAGAGTGAGTCATTCAATTTCTTTAGGGAAGCATAAATGCCGTCTAACACTGACACATAATCCTCCACACTTAAAAATATTTCTAAAATGTGACAGAATGAAACTTACATATTTATAAGTTTTATTCCATTCTAGTTTCCCTTCTCACTCTCTTTAGTTTCTTGTGGATATGATTCTCTTTTTTATTAGTTGATTGCATCTAAGATTACAGTAGTCTTTTGGTCTCATTTCTTCCTAAATAGAATGAACTGAGTTGTTCCCCCCAATTCGTATGTTGAAGACATAACCCCAATGTGACTGCCTGTGGAGATAGGGCCTTTAAGGAGGTAATTAAAGTTAAATGAGGTCATAGAGTAGAGCCTAAACCATTAGAACTGGTGTCCTTATAAGAAGAGCAAGAGACACTGCGGATGTGCAGACAGCAAAGATCAGGTGAGGACACGGCAAGCGGGCTGTGTTTGCAAGCCAAGGCAAGAGGCCTCTGGAGAAACTCAATCTGCTGGCGCCCTGATCTTGGGCTTCCAGCCTCCAGAGCTGTGAGAAAATAGATTTCTGTTGTTTAAGACAGTCTGTGGTACTTTGTTATGGCAGCCAAGCCAACAAATCCATTATATAATGCTGATATTGGAGGACAAGACTATCTTCTTTACTATATAAACTACATGTTTTGTATCCAACTCTAAGTAATATGCTAAAAAAATTTGATTACTTCCATTTGAGGGGACAAATTATCCAATGAAATTCTAAATTCATGTTATAATGAGATTGAATTGAATATATTATCCTGTTCCAGCCCCAGTAACCTTTTATTTTCTCCTCCTGCTCTTCTGATGCTCTGCGTGAATTTGCTCTGTTCACTTTTAAAAAGTGTGACAGTATCTTTAGGAAATTGGCCAGAATCATGGCTAGTGTTTCCTGAAGCTTCGAAGAGAAAGAAAAAGAACAAATCTTAACACTGATTACATTTCACACAAGGTAGAAAGCTATATGGTTGGATACCATATGGTGATGGCAGACACTGGTTAACTCTGTGACCTCACAACATGCTGGAAAATAACCTGGGTGCCTCATGGTTCACTGTTCTCGTTCTTATCGTAAAAGGGGGATGAGTAAGAGTAAAGCAATAAGTATGAGCTCTTCTATAGTGCAAAAACCCTGACTTTCAGAGAATATATTTCTGTCCGTAACAAGCTCACAATCGCTAGGCAAAGAAATAGTGAGCTACCTATATGACATTAAATATACAAGTGTTTGAAACAAGTACTGGGTCAACAATTGTGTGAACACTTAAGGGTCCACAGCTATTATGATGGTTAGATGATATGAAATTATGCTTTTCACCTTTTTTTTGGACCGTTATATCTTGAATGGTCCAGATTTCAAAGAGAGACCTGATGTCTCAATCCTTTCTCTTTCTCTGTTGCACAGATGACAGCAGAGGGAAGCTGAGGGAGTGAAGTGACCTGCCCAAGGTCACATGCGTGATCAATGGCCACGCCCAGTGAAGAACCCGCATTTCCAATACTCTTGATGTTGTCATTGTGACCCAGTTAGCAAGAGCAGCAAATATTTTTAAAAACGTAATTTAACATTTAGAGCATTGTAATTTCCCAAAAGGAGTAAAAGAGGTTGTGTTAAGTTTGCCACGTGGTTTTTGTAGTTGCCATTCTAGTAGCCTGCTCAATGTAAATGTCTCTGCTTCATGAACATAGTTTCTCATAATAAGTTAAAAAGTAAAATATTACTATGAAGCATAAACTGTAAGAAAATGGTATGTGCGTGATCCAGTAGCACAGAGATGAATCATAGCTTTGACCAACATCTTCTTTCTTCTCCCTTTCAGGAATGCAAGAAGGTGGCCTCTGATGATAGATCCTCAAAGTCAGGCTAATAAATGGGTCAAGAACATGGAAAAAGCCAATAGCCTCCATCTAATTAAATTAAGTGATCCTGACTATGCCAGGACTCTGGAAAATTGCATCCAGTTTGGTACCCCTGGTATGTAGTTGAATAACAAGCATACATTATGCGAATGCATGGGGAGGGCACGATTCACCCAAAACAATGTAGGTTGCTTGTTTTTTAAAAAGATATTTGTGTCAGACTCATCTTAAATCATGACTTTGTTAATGTCTTTCATTATTTATTGATAATTAATCAAGTGAGAACTTTAGGGATTATAGTTCCAGCAGGTTAGGACGTTTTCTTTGTCTCAAGATTCATTTGTGATGCTTCCTTTAATTTAGCTGTTTTAATTTTTGTCTGTTCTTTGCCATTCTTTAGTTCTCATTATAACTCCACTTCTGCAATTAAAAGGGCCACTTGATGTGCCAAAAGTATGTTTTTCTTTTTTTTTTTACTGAGGAAGTTTAGCCCTGGGCTAACATCCGTGCCCATCTTCCTCTACTTTATATGTGGGACGCCTGCCACAGCATGGCTTGATAAGCGGTGGGTAGGTCCACGCCCGGGATCCAAACCTGGAAACCCTGGGCCACCGAAGCGAAGCTCATGAACTTAACCACTATGCCACCGGGCCAGCCCACCCAAAAGTATTTTAACACGTTATTAGTCCAGTTATCCATTTATTCTTCTCTTGACTTACCCTACAAAAGTGGCCGAGAAGTGAGTACACATTTTACATGGCTGACTAAGATCTGCCATTTACAATGGAGAGATTAGAAACATGACAAGGATTTTTTAATAAAGCTCTATGCACATGCCACATTTATCAAAACAAAACAAAATACTTATGATTTGAGTAAATTGGGGTTATTAGTTACATTTTAAACCTATGTTACCTATCAAATTTTGACTACTTACTTGACCAAATAAATGTAACATTATGAAAGTACAACATATTTAGCCCCAGGACAAGTGTAGCAAATCCTAGTGGCTATTAGAGCTAGGACTGCGTGGAAGAATCGTAATAGAGATACAAAGTAGTCCTACAGACATTTTGTTTTTGCATGTTAATAATGAGTTAGCCTTTAAAATATTAGTTACAATTTTAGGTTCTCTCAGAGTAAGCATGAAATGAAAAAAATCTAAGTCTACGTATGAAATCTTGTGTTTATGTATATGGACGCAGACACACACAAGTGGTATTTCAGTCAGCTAACTGGTGTTCTTAGAGTATAGTGTGGTGATGGAGGAGTTACAGAAGGAGGGGGAACATGATCTCTACTATCAAACATCTTGCTTGTTTGATAGACGAGATCAGACAATATATGTAACTAACTGTAATAAACACAGAAAGTGGACACACCTCACTAACCCTTATTAGCACCACTGTGCTGTTGTGGGTGGCTGCACTGGCTCTGGAATAGAGTGCCTGCCTCTGTTACTCAGTGCTTGGGTCAGTGACCTTTCTGAGACTCAGTCTTCCCATCTGTATTTGGACCATATAGTGTGAGGAAGAAGTGAATTACCGTACTTGGGTGCTTACAGCAGTGTTTGATAAGCTCAATGTATGTTGTTTTTTGGTTGGAGATTTACTATGTGGTTTACGTGTATTATCTTTTAATTGTATTAGTATTATATTTAATTATATTAGTATACTAAGAAAGGCACAGATGATGAACTATGAGAATTCAGAGGAATCAGAAGATTTCTTGAAGAAATTAACACCTTAAGTAATTAAAATTACTTAATTTGACTTAAATATTCAAATAAGTTCCTTGACACAGTAAAAAACAATTACAGATAATTGAGCATCTGCCATGTGCTTGACATTCTGAAGATTTCTGTGATCTCAGTCGCATAGGTGTCAGTATTGCATCATTTTAGAGAGGAAAGGGCCATAGAGGCAGTCTGTATAGTGTTTTTCAAACTATGAGTCACAACTGTGGGAGAGAAAACCAACTTAGTGGGTCATGACCAGCATTTTTAAATGAAATGCAATAGAAAAAAATGGAAAATATTAGACTGCATAGCATGGAGTAAAGATAAGCATTATTTCATGAAATTTTAAAGTTCTATATGCACATGTGTGTACAAGATCAAGATTTAAAATATATTTCTTACTTGGAGTTGTAGCCATAAAATTTTGAAATCCAATAGTAATTCCAACCACTTCATTTTATTAATGGGTAAGTGAGGTGCTAGAGAATGTTAGTTACCAGGACCATGTGCCTAGTTAAGGGGAGTGCTGCAACTAGTCCCCGAGTCTTGTGCCTTCGTCCAGTGCTCTGTCATTCACAGGGGCTTTAACGTACTTTTCAGAATGAATACTTTTAAAATGGATAATGATTATTTACAATGCGTTCTAACACGGATCATCAGAGAGAAGTGGAAAGTTTTAAATCTACCATAGAGAAACAGATGGCAGATCTTGTAACTATTTTTATATTTAACTGTCAAGTACAAGAATCGGTTACTGTTACAGTTTTAAAACAGAAGCAGTTAAAGCCTCTTCCACTCCAGAAGTTATCTTTGGCTATTGGCCTATTCAAGGACAGAGGCTTTTGATCTGTAATCCCTTGCAGGCAGCCTGGGTCGAGAAGGCACAAGAAGGCAGAGGTCTTTGCCTTCTTCACCCACCTGCCCCTGCTCCAACCAGAGCAAGCCTCCCTTTCCTTTGTTTATATTGAGTTTTAAGATAAGATCCTCTTTGGATGTGGAGAGAAGGGAACTCTCATACACTGCTGGTGGGAGTGCAAACGGGTGCAGCCACTATGGAAAACAGTATGGAGATTCCTCAAAAAATCAAGGATAGAACTACCATATGATCCAGCTATTCCACTGCTGGGTATTTATCCAAAGAACTTGAAAACACCAATGCATAAAGATACATGCACCCCAGTGTTCATTGCAGCGTTATTCACAATAGCCAAGACTTGGAAGCAACCTAAGTGCCCATCAAGGGACGAATGGATAAAGAAGCTGTGGTATATATACACAATGGAATACTACTCAGCCATAAGAAACGATGAAATCCAGCCATTTGTGACAATATGGATGGACATTGAGGGTATTATGCAAAGTGAAATAAGTCAGAGGGAGAAGGTCAAATACCGTATGATTTCCTTCATTAAGTAGTAGATAATAACAACAATAAACAAACACATACAGGCAGAGATTGGATTGGTGGTTACCAGAGGGGAAGAGGGGAGGGAGGAGGGCGAAAGGGATAATTCAGCACATGTGTGTGGTGATGGGTTGTAATTAGTACTTGGGTGGTGAACATGATGTAATCTATGCAGAAATAGAAGTATAATGATGTACACCTGAAATTTATACAATGTTATAAACCAATGTTACTGCAATAAACAAAAAATTAAAAAAAAAAAAGATAAGATCCTCTTTGAAAAAAATGTCCTGTCGCTTAAAAAAAAAAAAGTTTGAAAGCAAACGTTCTAGAAAATAAAGGTACATCTGTATTATCCACACCAGTGGATAAGGTGTGCATAGGATATTAATCATATAAATATTGCTGATAAATCAATTTGTTCATACCTCAATAAAGCCGAAAAAATAAAGATGAAATTTTAGATTTTTAAAAAAGAAATCAACTTGTATAGAAGAGCTTTTAGTGGGTTTCCACCAACTATGAAAAAAAAAATCTTCATTAAGAGCAACATCTATCCTATCTGAGCCTTCCTTACTTTTATCTTATCTCCTAGCACTTTACTTTCTCTCCCCCTTGCACATAACATATCAGGGATGGGAACTACTTCTGGTTTAGTGTTCCTTACAGTTGCTCATTTGTTAGTTCATTCATTCACCCAACAAATATTTATTTTGCAACCACCACGTGCCACTGAAAACACAGCATGAACAAGACAGACTTGGTCTCTGCTGTCTGGGAGCTTGTTGGTGTAAAGAGGGAGAGAGAGGTTCCATGTGTGATGAGGGTTAGAAGATGGGAGGGCGGGACACACAGGAACAGGCAGTACATATAACAGCGTGGCGTTGTGTCTTATCTCTTAGCTTTCGTCTGTGCTTTTCCATCCATGTGGTGAATTCCTTTACATTTTACCCTTTAAGATAGAGCTCAAACACCTCTTTTTCTGAGTCATCTCTCTTGACCTGTCCAGTGAAGTGCCAATACTGAAGCATTTACAAATTTCTAGTATTGCCCTTATGATTGTCTACATAACTGTGTGCTTCTCACCTCCAAACTCTTTGGGAGTCACCAGGAGGTGCTCAGTAATTGTTTGTTGAATCTACTTTGAATACAATATGCTCCATAGTGGAACATAATATGCAGAAGATTTTTTTCCTATTAATTTGAAGTCTCACTCAGGATAAGGTAGGTAATTTGTAATAAAAAAAAAACTGATATCAGTTAATGTCCTAAGTGCAAAAGAAATAGGAAAAGAATGCTTGGTTATCTTTATATTTCTGTTGCTAAGGGAAACTGTTTTGAGTGAGATGATCTGCCTACTCAAAGATATCAGCAGCCATGTTTTTGGATTCTCAGTTTTGCTTTCCCACAAGCTCTGCAGATACTGTGATGGGCTGGCACTTGGGAATGCAGAAGGATGTTTTTATATAATCTAGCATATTGTTAACTTTGATGATAGAAATATGAAGAGAAGCTTGCCTCATGAATTGGCTCCTGTATTTTAACATGAAACATATTTTGATCTAATTAAAAGTTAAAGGAGTCAGGGCCGGCCCCGTGGCTTAGCGGTTAAGTGTGCGTGCTCCACTGCTGGCGGCCTGGGTTCGGATCCCAGGCGTGCACCAACGCACCGCTTCTCCGGCCATGCTGAGGCTGCTTCCCACATACAGCAACTAGAAGGATGTGCAACTATGACATACAACTATCTACTGGGGCTTTGGGGGAAAAATAAATAAATAAATAAAAATTAATTTTCGACAAAGGTGCTAAGGACATACAGTGGAGAAAGGAAAGTCTCTTCAATAAATGGTGTTGGGAAAACTGGACAGCCACATGCAAAAGAATGAAAGTGGACCATCTGCTATCGCCATTCACAAAAATTAACTCAAAATAGATCAAAGACCTGAAGGTGAGACCTGAAACTATAAAACTC